CTGGTGATCCACTGCCTCGGCCTCCCAAAGTGCTGGGATTACAGGCTTGAGCCACCGCGCCTGGCCGACAATAAATTTTTAAATCATAAGTTATATTTCCTTTTTGCTTTCTAATGTTTCTCACTGAGAATCAAGACAATGGCAATAATTTGTCTAAAAGTCTGAATGTCTGTGTGAAGAAAAGATTTCGATGTTGAGCATATGGTAGGGATTTGGTAAACATAAACTGAAACTGCACTGGAATTGCTTGCTCCAAGATCTTTATCAGTATGGAACCAAAACAAGAAGGAAAGCACAGAGAGTTAGTGGGATCTTTTAAACTCTCTTCCCCTATTCAAAAACTAATTTGTTCTTCTAAGAATATGACCCCACATACTCATTTTTTTTTCTGTCCCATTGGCTTCTTAAAAACTTTTTTTTTGATACCATGTCTTCTTATGGTCATAGTCATAGGCAGTTTAGATGTAGAAGTTTAATACCCTCTTTGGTAGTTATATTTTCTGACAAATATTCACTACAAATGTACAAAGAAAAGAGAAGACCAGCCCCAAGGAGACCCTCACTGTGGCACATTAGTTATCCTTCAACAGGTGTAGGAACTTTGAGCCAGAGAAGACTGGATGACGAAGAGACAGCACCTCAGGCAGCCTTGCCAGGAGCCAGTGGGTTTCATCCTGGCCTGACCCAGAAAAATCTTATGGAAGAGAACAAGAGGCCCAAGAGCTCTCTGATCTGCTGTCAACCAGCTGCAACCGGGAGACTGCCAAAGCGCTGCAGTGACTAGGCAGCGCCCTACAGAGCCGTCTGGGAGGGGATTACCAGCCTGATCCCTTGTCTTTAGAGCCAGAAATGACTCAAACTTCACAAACAGCAAGGGCCTGCCAGGGAGGGTGACAATGAGCACTGGAAAGGGTTTTCTTTCCCTTGTTGGTGTCTCTTCCCCCTACTTGCTGCTGTGGCAGATTCTGGACAGTGTGCAGCCTGTGAGGTAATCTGAATTCCCTGGCAACCAGCAAGTACCTGAATTCTTTCAAAACCACAGGAATCCAGCAGAGAAAAGGTAAATATCCCTGCGGAGCCAGTGTTAATTAGCAAGAAAGGCTACTGAAGAAGGAACTGGGGGCGGGGAGAAAGAGAAAGGCAGTACAAATGCTTTGGGGTCTTTTCTGAGTTTCCACTGAATAATATGGCTGAGGCAGAAAAAAAGCTGTTCCAACTGGGACCTTCCCAGAGTCCTCTCCTCCCGCCTCTTCTGCATGGGTGGAACTCAGCTCCCTGGATGGGTACTCACATCTCCCCCACCCCCGCCCCGTCACAAGTTGCTAGAGCTGCCTATCTTTGGGTCTCTGGCAACATATTTGGTGTTCAACTCCATTTTGTTCTAATTTTTTTGAACTTTTAATTTTTTCCTGTTTCAGTAAAAATCTGGCTATTAGCTTCATCTCAGAAAGGGCTCTGTCAAATCATCTAAACCCAATACTGGATCCACCTAAAGCTATAAAATCCAGGACAAAATCTTTTTGGATTCCACCTCTGACAGGAAAAAGAATCTACACCATTTTGGAGCACCCCTCTGTGGAAACAGAGTGTCCCCTGGTGGCGCAAAACAGCAACACGCAAGTAAAATTCAAAAGTACAGGGGACCTCTGAGGGCTACTGTGAGAATCACAAAAAGCTGCACCCAAATACCAGGGGGACAATTTTAACACATCTTCAATATTTTACCCACACATAAGAAAACAGAATTCTCCCACATCTTATGTTAATAAAGCAGTAAGGACAACTGAAAACACTAATCTATAAAGAAACTAGGGTTTTCACAAATTCTTGATTCACAAAACTGTCTTGTGTAATGAATTTCATCTTTCTGTCACCTGGCATTAATTTGAGGTCCAAAACAAAAACGATGGGGTATAAGAGAATTCATTCTAAGAAGAAAATGAATTGTCTTTGCCTCCTGTTCTATCTCTTTAGGAAAGATTATGGTTTTTCTTGTTGAGCCTCAACGTAACCCAGTGATCTCATCCCAAACTGAATGTCTTCAGTTATGTCTACATAAAATACATGTGGCCCAAGATTAATAAAAGCTGCAGATCTGGAGATGCTACAGACTGTCGACACAGTCGAACAGACTCTGAGGATTACAACGAAGCAAGTGAATGCCAAGATACATAATGAGCGATGACACAAGAACTGAGGCCGCCAGGCACTGTGGCTCACACCTGTAATCCCAGCACTTTGGGAGGCCAAGGCGGGCGGATCACGAGGTCAAGACATTGAGACCACCCTGGCCAACATGGTGAAACCCCATCTCTACTTAAAATACAAAAATTAGCTGGGCATGGTGGCACACACCTGTAGTCCCAGCTACTTGGGAGATCAAGGCAGGAGAATCCCTTGAACCAGGAGGCAGAGGTTGCAGTGAGCTGAGATGGCACCACTGTACTCCAGCCTGGTGACAGAGTTTTTTCTGTGTCAAAAAAACTTAGGCACATTGAAATTACTGTATAGAACAATGTGCCTTCGCAGGACTCCAGCAAACAGTGCATCATACTGCCATGCGTCATGCTTTTGTAAAGCTTCGATAAAGCATTTATATTCATTTATACTTTCAGGTAAACCTAACCAAAGCCCTGAAAATTCATGTTGTTTTCTGGTTCCACTTGGTCTGAGTTTTTGCAAAGCTGTTTTTCTAATTATTCTGAGAAAAAGCATCCATTGACTAACATATATATAAATGTTTTGTTTCTGCTGGAAGCAAAAGAAGAGGGTTATACTTAATTCCGTAGATTCTGACTTCCAACACACAACCAGTAGCCAAAGCACTTGAATATTTGTAGTAAATTCTATAATAAACCTTGGTATTGTTGTTCTCATGTTGTGCTCTGAACCAGAATGATCTTAAAATTATGCCAAATTTTACCCACAGAGAGGGCTGTTATTATTGTAGGTGAAAATATCTTTGGAATATTAAGCAAAACTGGTATAATATCCTTGAGAAACAGTGAAGCACAACCTTGATCTATTTTCTCTATTCCCAAAGTCCAATTTTTGGCAGAACATAATCAGTTTCTTATAACTTGACATAGGAGAGAAGTTATGGTGAGGATGAGCAGAGGAAGGAGAATTATAAAACTTATAAAAGAGAGAGAAAGCTCAGAAGTCTCACATTATAAAGCTGAAACTCCTCAGCATCTTGCATATCTGAGAAGTTAGGAGTGTATTTTACCTTCACTTTGTTCAAATAATATAAGGAATAGACAGTTATTTTTTTTCATGAGATGGGGTCTCACAATGTTGACCAAGCTGGTCTTGAACTCCTGGCCTCAAGCAATCCTCCCATCTCAGCCTCCCAAAGTGCTAGGATTATAGGTGGGAGCCACCATGCCCGGCCGGGAATAGACTTTTATACCTAATTTTGTATAGTGATACTTCAAAGCATGAGAGCACATGTGTCTATAAACATTATAGACAATTTCTTTCCTATAAAAACCTAATTATAGCTAGTAGTCACTTCATGTTCAGACACCTGGTTCAGCCCTTTATCTAATAACTGAGAGATGTTTCAGTTCTTCCCTTTCTCAATTTTCAAGGAACAGAGAGAGGCCAGATCTAGGGAGTTTTGGTAGTCTTCAATGTTCCCAGGGCTCAAACTCAAAATCTTGGTTAAGAATATGACAGGACTTGTAAATGCTGTCACTGCCACCTAGAGGTGAATGGAACACAGAGCTCCACTGGCTAGAAGGTTTGGTTAGTCCGAAGCTTTTGTATCTCACTGATTTCAAGTCATGGGATACATCTGAAAAAAACTAAGTCTCTAAAATCATTAAAAGACCATTCTAAAATAATAGTTGTCAGAGTACAACAATATTTGTCAAAGCACCTGTACATAAATAGGTAGCCATCTTTTATCCATGGTATTTCCCATCTTCCAATTGCATTTTCTAAAACACAGAAACATACACAGACCATGCTTTTTTAGCTTGCTGTGACCACTCACAGATGCAAACCACCTCCTAAACTGCTATGCTCTATAACAAGCTTGTCCAACGTGAGGCCCGCAGGCTGCATGCAGCCCAGGATGGCTCTGAATGTGGCCCACAAATTTGTAACCTTTCTTAAAATATTACGAGTGTTTTGCAACTTCTTTTAAGCTCATCAGCTATTCTTAGTATCAGTGTATTTTATGTGTGGCCCAAGACAATTCTTCTTCCAATGTGGCCCAGGGAAGCCAAAAGATTGAACATCTCTGCTTCATATCAAAGGCACTACGCATAAAAAGAACTTCAGGGCAAACTGGTTGGTTGATACAAAAATTCAGCTTTGTTGGGGGAAAGTACACAGCTTAGTAGTTACATACTTATTTTAAAAAATTTAAAGAGTTTATGAAAACAATTACCTGTAAAATTCTGTGGCTATGGGAAACAAAACTTAAAAATATTACAACTTGAACTTAATCTCCTAAGTCGCATTACCTTAAAATTTAGAAAGCACCTCAACAAAAAGAGAACAATGTATGTACAACCACTGTACAGTAACTCGGATATTAAGGAAAAAAAAACAATAACTTCTAAATGGACATGAAATAGTCTGACTCCTGAGCTCTGGACTCAGATCCATGAGTTCAAATCCCCATTCCACTTCTCTCACCTCTAAATCTTTTCCTCAACTGCAAAAATGCATCAACTAAAAGGCTGTTATGAGGATGAAAATAAATTCCTGGCATATAAATACGACATGATCCTGGTTCACTACTGGGAAGATGTTTATGCACCTTACGTGTGGACATGCATTGAGGCTATAGACAAATAAGGCCAATTTCTGAAGTTCTTTTTATGCATAGAGGCTGTGATGTTATAGAGCACAGCAGATGAGGAGGTGGTATGCATCTGTAAGCAATAATGACAAGTGAAAATAGTATGATCTTATTTAATAAACTTGTTAACGGGTCCACTTTTAATACACCCACCCAACCCTTCTGCACCAAAACAGTTTCTTACCTAGCCAATCCTTCTTCATAGAGATAGATGACAAGAGGATCATAGGAAGTCACAAGCACGTAGAGGCGCACATCAAACTTGAAATCTAAAAAAAAACAATTTGTATTTACAAAAAAACCTAAGATAATTTGTTTCCTGTTACAGAATAAACAACGAAACCAAGAATCATGAAAGATAGAACATTCTTCCTCTCCACATGAAACATATACTGCCCACATACCTTGCCTTTTGATGATAACTAATTATATAAATGTACCATATACATAGTACGTTATGTATACAGTACCTAATAAAAACAGTATAATGTATATATACATTAATATAACTGTAATATATGTCTATGTGTGTTTGTTATTTTCATACATATTAATTACTGCACAATTTTCATACATATATTAATTACCATATAACCTATAAAACACTTTCTCTTATATGATCTCATTTCACCTTTAAATAAATCCCGTGAGATAGGTAAGGAACCGGCTGCCTTTCTGGAGCCACATGTGTCAAGAATTTCACAACAGTATAATAAAGACTTATTAGAGAAGGTTATGAAAAGCTTAAAAAGTTTAGCAAAGAACTGGCCCAATTTAGTCAAGGGCCTAATCACAACTCACCATCTATGAGCAGGGGGTTGTTAATGTAACGGGAGACCAGAATGTTCTCTTCCAGGGAAATCTGGTTTGGCTATTGAGTAAAGAGAAAGAATGAAAGAGTAGAAATGCACAAGAACCCTAATTTACAATAAGGGAGCAAAGTGCTTAACCTTTCAAGAAATGATAATGTGGAAAACTAAAATTCTGGTTAAAGTTTCCTCCAAGGTACCCACATATTCAGGTTGGCCATATAACATCACTTCTATAACATTACAGGCATCCAATTACAATGCAGAAAAAATAAATTTACCCAGCACCTCTCACATAATAAACACAGCCTAAATAGCTTTAAAGATGTGTATACATTATATTAAATAGTTACATGCCAAGAAAATAAGAGCCACCTTAAAAATCAATAAAAACTTGCTTTCTCCCCAATGTAAAGTATAATGGAAATTTTAAAATACTACTACTATTCTTAAATCAAGGTTTTTATTAAGATGTTTAAAGAATTTACAGATCCACAATGGATCCTAGCATTTTCTCTGTAAAATGAGATAGGTGTTTGATTCGCTTAAGGAAATTTGCTAAGCAAGCGTATACATGGAGTGAATAAGATCTTTTAAAGATGTCTTCAATGAGAAAAAGTTTATACAATAAATAGAAAGTACTGTCAGACACTGTATACGGCACTGGGGAATACCATGATGAAGATAACAGATATAATCTCTGCCTTGCCAATTTAAGATTCAGTAAATCCCTATCCCTGAAAAGTTTAACATTTAGGTAGAGAAACAGCAAAATACAGAATTTAAAAGAACACAAAATAGCATTTCTGTAAATATAAGACGTGAGGTTGCAAAGTTAAAGTGCAGACCAACTAGGTAGGACCAGTCAGGGAAGACGCAGAAACCAGGGGTGAAGGCTGTGAAGCACATGGTAGAGAAGAAAGGAGCCCATCATGGGAAGATGACATGCAGGAAGTCCAGCAGAAAGGAGGATGGCCGATTCACAAACCTGAGGCTAAAAGACTGAACTGGGAAATTATGAAAGAAATGGCTAACAATGAGGAAGGAGGTACCCCACTGGCAAAGGGAGTTTATATTTAGCACGGTGGGAAGCAGGAAATTATTATGGATTCTAGATTAAGGAAATAGCAAGATTAAAATATCTGGGGAGAAAAAAACCTTCATGTGTGATTAGATAAAGACAGAGAAATCAGCTGGAAGTCACCACAATCCATGTAGGACAAAAGAGCTCCAAAAGGGAAGTGGTAATAATAATTTGGTTGATAATAGCTACAGTCAAGGCAACAGAATTAACCATCAACATTTGCAGAAACAAAATTTAACAAATGCACTAAACATGTGGATGTGCCAAGTGCTGTTCTGAGTCTGTTCCCAGGATTATTTCATTTAATGCTCACCCAACCTCATGAGGCAAGTATATCACCATCTACATTTTACAGATGAAAAAGGAATCAGAGTGGGTTAGGGACGTGCTCAAAGTCACACAGCTAATAGAGCGGCAATGGAATCCAGGCAGTCTTCCTCAGAGGCTTAACATTTAGGCATTATTCTTACCTCTTCTCAATATTCTGCTCTCAAATTTAATTGTCCCCCAAATTCAAAAGTTTCTCTTTGTAATAATGCATTTCCTACTCCCAATACTACAGTTTGTCATAAGATAAGGATAATATTGTGACCTATAACTCTACACAGAACCTCTATGAGCAACTAACTCCCAAGTCAGCATGATGAGATTCTTCTCTCATTTCCCACTGCTGCTATCTCAGTCAGAATACAGCTTTCTCAAGCTATCTCTATGCATCACAGGAACACAATGACATAATTACTGATACATCCCTAATGAACTTAATCACCCATCCCATTTCCTGACTCCCTTACATTTCTTGATCAGCTTCTCACAAATATTATCTCCATTTTGAATCAGCTCAGTGAGAATCGAGGCAATCATTGTACAGCTGCAGGCAATGTTGTTAATGTAAAATCACACAATTGCAGCTCTCTTCCTACTGAGTAGCACCTATAGGCTACAACAAATATCTAGTCACCCAACTTTGCTCCACAGCAGAGAATATGCTGATAGTGGTCACCATTCTGTGACACATCTAATGCCAATGTGCATTTATTTCCTCTCTTCCCTTGCTCACCATACACATTTATTCTTTGACTTACAGAAAACAAACCCTTACATTATTTAGTTAACTTTACTATTTGTTCTACTGTTTTTATCTCTCACTTCTATCTGCACTGGGAATTAAAATGTAAGCTCCTAGAAAAAAAAGAAAGGTTTGGGTATAGTTTCTTTGCATAGCGTTACACACTGAAGAGCAACTAAGAAAACCTTTCCGATATCTTCAAGCCTGTTTCCTTTTCATCAATCCCTAGTTAAATCATTTTAAATTATTTCAATTCAAAGCTTAAACTGCCTCCCAGAGTATGCTAAAGTAGGAATCTGAATTGTTGGGAAAGTTGGAAACACATCTTACTTTTTTTTTTTTTTTTTTTTTGAGACAGTCTCGTTTCTTTACCCAGGCTGGAGTGCAAAGGCATACTCTCTGCTCACTGCAACCCCTGCCCCCCAGGTTCAAGCAATTCTCCTGCCTCAGCCTCCCTCCACAGTAGTTGGGATTACAGGCAAGTGTTACCACACCTGGCTAATTTTTGTATTTTTAGTAGAGATGGCGTTTCACCACGTTGGCCAGGCTGGTCTCAACCTCCTGGCCTAGAGTGACCCACCTGCCTCGGCCTCCCAAAGTGCTGGGATTACAGGTGTGAGCTACCGTGCCTGGCTGGAAGTACATCTTTCTAACTGGACCTTAAGATTAAAGCTCTGGTATCCAAGTCATTGTAAAGGAAAATGGTTAAGAGTGTCTATGCCGGAAACAGCTGTACGTGAGTTACAGCCTTGACTCTACCGCTTACTAAGGGAACAGTAACGACCTCAGAGGGTTCATATACAGATTAAATGAGATTAGGTTTAGAAAGGTCAGTGGCAGGCTCAGTGAAGACGTTATTATTACTGTAAACTTAACAGGATGTAAGCGGTTCTAACTGCAAAGCCCCAAGCTCAACAGCATTCATCACTACCTGCCACACGCCATGCTAGTCAGAATACTGAGTTATTACGAAAATTAGGAGAATTTCTCAAAAGCTTTTAAGGAGTGACAACACAGCAGGCACTCCCAAAATACTTGCTGAGCAATTAGATAAACAGAGGGAATCTAAGATAAAAACATATAAACAGAAAGAGAATACAGCATTATGTTCACAACCTCTCGCTCTCCTAATATATGAAAATCTCAGAGAATGTATCAATACTGTATTTACCATGAATAATGTGTTGAGACAAGGATGACTAAATTTGACTTCCATAATCAAATTCAATACCTTAATCAGAAAAGACCCGTTTTTTTCCCCTCCTGGATTCGAATATACTAAATTGGGAAAATATGGCATTTAGTCATGGTTACTGAAGGAGTGGGGCAAAAAAACAGCTTTGAGCTTTTAAGCTGTATTTCTAGAGTTAAAGAGCACATGATTACCAGACCAGGTTAGCCAACCAACCGAGACGCTTCCATCTGTGGTCCACACTTCTCTTTTCAGTGTTAAAGTAATGCTCTTGCTATCCTTTATCCTGCTCTTGTAATGGTGAAAGTTGCTATTTGCAGAGAGTTTCCAAAAGGTTATGACTACTACAGGGAAATTTTAACAATTGGCCCTATTACTCCAGTGGGAAGACGGGGAAGATATTTTCACTTGAGCCTCACACTAACTCCATCCCCCCTGCCTAAATCCCTCACCCACTCACATGAGTTCTGCTCCCAGACCCTCCACCTCAGCATTCCCTCTCCTCACCCTCTTGCTCAAATCTAAAAGGAAAGCAGGCAGCAGCCTTGGAAAGAGTTACTTCACCCAGTTGGCTAATGGGTCACATATTCCATGGGAAAGAATCCAGGTATGGAAAAGAGGGAATGGTTATGTCTTCTGTGTAAGGAGAGAGAAGAGTATTAACAACATGATTTGCAGGTCTGGGTAAAAGGTGGTAAAATTCCAGTTTCAGGGTGAAATGGGAGTATTTTTCCATTATGTCTGCATGTTGCCAGCTCCCCTCATGCCTGCTGGCATCTTCCCAGGCTTCTGTCTGGCACCTCCACTAAATACCTAAAAGAATCAGACTCATTCCAAAGCTTCACAAAGAGGGAGGGGGAAGGTAAAAGGTCCTGCCAAGTACTTTGATCTATGCAGGGGGTCTCAAGAGATTCAGCCCAGGGAGAGATGGGAGAGAAGAACACTCAGCCTGCCAAACACATTCTCTAAAGACATGTCACCCCTTTGAGATTCAGCATCCAGGGAAGAGTTTGGGCACAGGGTTCTCGGCTCCACCAAGGAAAGTTTAACTTTTCTATCCTTTATGATGTTAGCTTTAAAATAACAAATCACTAGGACAAAAGAGCATTCCAAAAGAAAAGAGTCCCAGATGAGCTGGGAATAGATCCTATTCCTTTTGACTCATGTCTAAGAAAATAAAAAGCAAACTCGTACCATAGCTGACTTTCAATAGCAATTTCATTTGGCAGCTAAAACCCAAACCCAAACTAGTGCCGTCTATGAGATTCAAACAACACTGGGGCTCCTGGCACAGAGCTGAAGGAAAAGCTGTTGGAGGGGGGACTTCACACCAAGGTCAGAGCAGACAAGAGGAGACAGAGCCAAGGCATATGATCATGGCCCTATGTCACAGGAGACTCAGGGTAAAAGGCCTCCAGAGTGGCCTAGGCCAGGTACAGAAGTTGTAGCCAATGCCTGGGGCTATAGCAGTTGCTCTGTCAAAACCAGATCCTATATTTATTCGGCATGAAGGTTCTGGCCATCATTGTTTATTGTACGGTTTTGAGTCCAGACTGAATTTAAGGACTTTCCAATATGAAAGATCACTCAGAAAGTTAAGTTTCTACACATATGGGAAACAGTTCAATGTGAAAAGACAACTGGGGAATTTAAGATGGGGTTTTGGTCCCACATATAACATATCTACCTCCCCCTGCCCTTTCTGAGTTCCAGTGGAAAGACAGAAAGAATATTTTCAAAAGAATGAAATGATATCAAAGCTAGAAAAAAGTAAAAGGAGCCAGGCAAGTCCAAACATTTAAAGAAATCCTAAAAGATAGAAAGCAGATGGGATCATGTTGAGAAAACAGAGCAGAGGAAGTTCCAGCCCAAAATATCAGAGATAAGAGTGATCTTCCCAAGGAGGCTCCTGCAAATTTCCAAGCTTATAGTCAATAAACATGAAGATCAGGGATCAGCCAAGGAATACAAATTAGATAATTAACAAATAGCATTTGAACAGTGAGACCAGTAGACATGTGGGTGCAGGGATCTGATAGAGAAGAATGAAACTTGAGGCTACTTTATCCCCAATACACACAAAAAGGAAAAGAGAAGAAATGTAGCTCTGCCCAAAATCACCTAATCTTCCTCTAAATTCACAATGTGGCCCACTCTGTTTTGGCAAGGTGGAAGAGGCATGCTCCTCACCACGTCCACCTAAAGTGAAGCATGACAGTCAACACGTTTTGCCCTTACACAAAATACACAGTCAGACTCTTCCAGGGAGAAGCTGTTAGGAAAAGAGTCCTACACAACCACAGTAGAAACTGGAGCGGCTGCCAGTTTTATTCAGTCTGGTCTTTTGTTCATAAATATGGTCCAACACATAAGGATCATCAAAACTGAGAAAATCCAGTAGCAGGGGAAAAGACAATCCCAATAAAATTCAAGGACAGAAGAGAACTTTACAAAAATTTCCACTGGTATCCTCAGAGGGACAGGCAGGCAAACTGCATCCACTATGCAACAAAAGGTTACTACTTGTAAGTAAAAATAAAGCAAATCAGAATATGAGTTTCTGGAAATCAACCTATGATATCCAATATAAAAATATAGTAGATGAATGAACAATAAAATGGATAAAACTCAACCTGTGATCTAGAAGATAAAGATAGGAAAAGAATTAACAATGAGAGAAAAGTTAACATGAAGATCCAGAATGCCTCAAAAAAGAGCTCTAAAAGTGGAGACAAATAAGAGGATAATTTTCCTTAAAGAAAAACACTAGTTTCCAGACTGAAAGTGCCTACCAAATGCCCAGGAGGAAGAATAAAAAACAGGTCCAGGTCTAAATACTGGTTAAATTTCAGAATCCCAAAGTATATCAGCAGCAGCAAATCCATATGGGTCTGCAGCAACTCAATTCTTGCCTCCTTGACGGAAAGAATTCATCTGAGGGGCATAAGGCAGAGTGAGAGACCGAGGCCAGTTTTGGAGCAGGAGTGAACATTTATTAAAAAGTTTTACAGCAGTAACGAAAGGAAATAAAGCACACTTGGAAGAGAGCCAAGCAGACAACTTGAGAGATCCAAGTGCCTATTTGACCTCAGACTTGGGGTTTTATACATTGGCATGCTTCCGGTGTTTTGCATCTCTCCTCCCTTGATTTTTCCATGGGGCAGGCTGTCTGCATGTACAGTGGCCTGACAGCACTTGAGAGGGGCCGTATGTGCAGTGTGTTTACTGCAGTTGTGTGCATGCTCATTTGAAGCATTTTTGCCTTACCAGTCGAATGTTCCTAGAGGAAGGACATACACCAGTTAAACTCCATTATTTTGCTTCTTAGTGCACATGTTTGAGCCTACTTGTCCAAATCCTGAGATCTTATTGGGAAATAGCTGATCACCGGCTTCAGGTGTTTTCTGTTTGTTGGGAACCTGCCTATGCCTGGCATCTGCTGCTACCAATTATTATTTTAGAGACACCAGTTTAACAACTGCCTGTTTATCACCTGATGATCACCTGATACTCCTTGGTGGTGGTCCTGTCATGCTCTGCTCATGTCTGCCTAGCTACCTATTCTAAAATTTCCTCCTTCAAGAATCCAAGTGTGTTTCCACTGAGTTTAAATTTTTTAGTCAACTTACAAAGAAACTGAATCATAGTTACTGAAGAGACTATAATAAATGTTTAAAACATAAGAATAAAAACTAATCAAACAAATGTGCAAGGGAGGGTGGGATGTGATGTAAGTGCAGTAAATGCCAAACTGAGAATTAATACAATGTAATATCAATGAGAGAAATAGAAATCAACTAAAATTACTAACTGCTATTATACATCTACGGAGTGAGACCACTAGGAAGTTTATTTGCTATGTACATGCATTCAATTAAAGACAACTTTTAATGAGAATTTTGCAAAGAATCAAGATATTAATAGCTTTTGAAAAAAGAAGAGGAGAAATCAAAGAAAGAAGAGCAGAAAGAGGCTCTAACACTTGCCTCGGTCTCTCACTTTGCCTCAGAAGGAAGGAGAAGCAGCAGTAGTAGCAAGGATGCCATGCCAAATTAAGGTTCACTTGTTTGATAATATTGAAAACAGAACCCACAGTTCTGCTCACAATAGACACATATATGCTATCAATTAACGCAGGTGTGTAGGAATTAACATCACAATATGCTAAAAGCAGAAAAGGTGCCTCTTTTCTGCTAACACAACAGGTTGCCCTCCCCCAAAAGTTAATCGTGTCTTTTCAGCCATGCAGTAACTGCTGGTGCAGGAGAAGATTCCTGCCAATAAGTAAGGCAACAAGTCTATTCATACCCACCCTCAATTCACTTCTGAATGCAGATTTCAGAAGAGCACACCTGCTCTTAATGAAATGGAACTCTATTAGTAACCAGTACAAAGGGTGAAGGAGCAAAGAACACGTGAGGAAAGAGGTTTGCCATCTGCTGCATACTTACATTGTTGATCAGGTAGACTCCTCGGCCCCTAGAAGAAGCCACTGGTTTTACTATCCAAGGTCCCCGGTCCTTTGAATATGAATCTGCTCAAAATATTGGAAGATAAAAATGGGAGAAAACAAAGAAAAATAATGAACTTGAGTTTATTATATCAACTTTCAACAAGAGTTATCTACTCAGAGAACCCATAATCTTACAAAGTTCTTAGTGTTGGATAGCAACTAAACTTATCTGTACTTTTTGGATTTACCTTAAAAACAAAAACAGACAGAGGGAGGAAAGGAGGGAGGAGAAAAGAGGACAGCAAAATCACTCCCATTCCTTCCGCCGTTTCCCCTCTTTCCTTTTTCTTGGCAGGGTCTTGCTCTGTTGCCCAGGCTGAAGTGCAGTGGTGCTCTCATGGCTTATTGCAGCCTCAACCTCCAGGGTGCAAACAATCCTCTCAACTCAGCCTCCTGAGTTGATGCGACCACAGGCACGGGCCACCAAGCCCAGTTAATTGTTTTTCACTTTTCATAGAGGCAAGGTTTCTCTATTTTGCCCAGGCTGGTCTTGAACTCGTGGCCTCAAGCAATCCTCCCACGTTAGCCTCCCAAAGTGCTGGAATTACAGGCACAAGCCACCATGCCCTGCCTCCCCTCTTCCTTGAATGAAAAGATGAAAACAAAATAAGGCAAACATCTAGATGTTAGTCTATTACTGTCACGAAGAACCATCATGAATCTTTGAAATTCTCACCTCTGTTAACTAAAGGACCTCAGGCACACAGTGTCAATGTAAGCCAAAATCTAGATCTCGTAATACAGCTATTTTTCCTTAAATATTTCCTTCAAGTTTATAAAATAAAAATCACCTTAATTCAAGCAATATGCCAGTGGAGAGGAAGGACAATCATTTACAAGTGATTAAAAGGTGCCATTTGCTTCTGTTCCTTTCCCAGGTTCAGCTTTACACTTTAAATCCCTTTGGATCATGAAAAGAGAAAGCAGACAACTGACACTAAGACTCCCAAAGGCTTGCAAGTGGTCTGAGAGGAAGCAGATCTGTCTTCCACTTAGGAAATGTCAAAAGTCAGTGGAGAGAAGCAGGGATAGAGCTCTCAGTGTGCTGATTCTCACATCCCAGACTGGAGAAGGAGCACTAGTCCCAACTGTGCCTCTTCCACTTTTGGTGAAATACGTCAGGTGGCGGCAGTCATTACTGTTTCAAAGCAGAGGTGAGGTGAATGATAAAAATTAAGAGATTTGTTTTTTCTTGGTATTTTTCTTCAATGAAAGAATAGAGAAAGGGAAGGAGTAGTGTGGGGAAATAAATCAAACAAATGCAAATGTTACTGAGCAGATCTCACAAAGACTTCCTTTTTCCCAATGGCCTAAGTTGCTGTGCACCAAGATATCAGTCCCATTTCATCTGGAATACAACCGCACAAACCTAAGAAAGTTCCCTAAAGTTTCTGTTAATCAGGTTTTATTTATTAAGAGGCACCTCATTTTCTAGGGTTCCAGTATCAGAAAAAGACTTTCAGATACTGGAGTCCCTAAGTTTTGCACACTTCCCTCCACCCTGCATTTGGGCTTATATCAGGCAGGCCTTCAGAAGGAGCTCTCTAGGCTCAGCTCCTTTTCCCAGATGACTTGCCAGCAACTACTTGTCTCCTTTTCTTTCCTCTCCCTCTGACATGAGCCAGTCTCTTCAAGGCCTCCCACACAAACTTGACTTTGTCAATGTCATAAATCATTTCACCAGGAGGAAAAAAAGATCTTTTGTCCACTCTCTCCCGTCTTCCTCTGTATTTTCCCTTGACCCAGAATTAGAAAAACTGTCATGTGCCACATAGAATTTAACTCTGTGAGCAATTCTACTTCTAGAACTATGTCCTCTAGTTCTACTCACATGTGTAAAATATTGCATATACAAGATTTTCAGTGCTGTGTTTTAACAGCAAAATATTAATTAAATACACTACAATGCATATATATGAAGGGTCAGCAAACTATTTTTGTAAAAAGCCAGAGAATAAACATTTTAGGCTTTGCAGGCAGTTTCTGTGGCAGTTACCCAACTCTGCAGTTGTACCTTGAAAGTAGCCATAAACAATATGCAAACAAAGGGGTGTGGCTGTTACACAAAATTTTGTGTATAAACACTGAATTTCATATGATGCCTAGAAGCCACAAAATGTTATTCTTCTTTTGATTTTTTTCCAACCATTTAAAAAAGGCCTTAGCTTGTGGGACACACAAAAACAGGCAGAAGACCAATTTCACTCAATGGATATAGTTTGCAGACATCTAATCTACACAATGGAATAATAAACAGACACACAAAACAAGAATGTCATTAATTAACTGATATGGAATGATCTTGAGGATAAGCTGTTAAATGAAAAAAACAAAGTGCTGGGCAATGTATGTTACATACACCCATCTGTTCATATACACACACAAGTTATTTGCTAGTAAATGTAAAGAGTATCTCCAGAGGGTATGTAAGAAACTAGTAACACTGATCATCTCTAGGGAGGAAAACTCTATGACTGAGAAACAAGAAGAGAAAGGAAACTTTTCACCGATGACTGTTTTGAAATTTATTTTGTACCGTGGGAATATATTACCTTTCAAAAAATATAATTTATATAATTTTAAAGTCCTGCTATAGAAGACATATTTATAGTTATAAATGACAAAAAAATTAAATTTCCATAAAGTGAGGCCACTGAATATATGTATATGTATTCAGTTTATATAATTTTTTCACTTTGCCATTTTCCCGATACTGAGTAGACAACAGAATGCCTGAGCAAAAAGGCATTAAAACAAAACAAAAAATAACAAAACTTTTCAAACATCACTCATTCAATGCCTCTAAGTATGTAATCTGTGTCAATCAGTTTGCTAGGTGTGGGGCACACAGCAGTGAAAAATACAGTCTTTACCATCACAAAGATTAGACTAGCCGAAAAAACAGACATTGAACAAGCAATTACAGTCACTGAGAGTTATAAAGCAGAAGTACAGAGTTCCATTGAAATGTGTAAGAAAACGACCAGGCTAGTTATTAATAGGCTCACTTACACCTATAATCCCAGCACTCTAGGAGGCTGGGGCAGGAGGATCCCTTGAGGACACGAGTTCAAGATCAGGCTGGGCAACACACCAAGACTGTCTCTACAGAAAATAAAAAAATTTGCCTGGCGTGGTGGTGCCTGCCTGTGGTCCCAGCTACTTCTAAGGCTGAGGTGGTAGGATCACTTGAGCCCAGGAATTCAGGGTTATGGTAAGCTATGATTGCACCACTGCACCCCAGCCTGGGTAAGAGAGGAGGAGAGAGGGAGAGGAGGACAGGGGACGAGAGAGAAAGGGGGAAAGGCGGGGGGGAGGGGGACGGGGGGGAGAAGGGTCGAGGAAAAGAGAGGAGGAGATGGGGAGAGGGGGAGGGAGGAGAAGGGGAAAGGGGAAAGGGGAAGAGGGGAACAGGGGAAGAGGGGCAGAGGGGGAGAGGGGGAGGGAGAGGGAGAGAAAAGGACCAAAGCTCTCTGGAGACAGTACCCTCTACTTTGTGAACAGAAGTCAATGCTTCTGGCCAGGCGCCGTGGCTCACGTCTGTAATCCCAGCACTTTGGGAGGCCAAGGCAGGTGGATCACCTGAGGTCAGGAGTTCGAGACCAGCCTGGCCAACATGGTGAAACCCCATCTCTACTAAAAATACAAAAATTAGCCAGGTATGGTGGTCCACGTCTGTAATCCTAGCTAGTCAGGAGGCTGAGGCAGAAGAATCATGGCTTCAACTCAGAAGGCAGAGGTTGCAGTGAGCCAAGATCATGCCACTGCATTCCAGCCTGGGTGACAGAGCAAAACTCTGTCTCAAAAAAAAAAAGTTAATGCTTCTTCAGGTGCTTCACTATCACTGAAATCTAAATGTTCTTGAAATTCTAAATATCAAAGACTTGTCTTTCATACTAGGCTTTTCTCCTTGATTTGTGATATTTTCAGAACAAGGATTCATTTCTTTTACAGGTTCTAAAAATGTGGGTAGGAAGCAAGAAAAATCAGGAGCATAGGCTAGGCAGAGAGCTCAGGAGCCTCTGCTTCAAGATGAAAATGTACTAAACAGGCTCCAAAATTCTTTCAAGTGCCTTCTAGTTCCCATAGTGGCAGCAGGCTTGGTCTACTAGGAAGAGCAATGAACCTGGAATAGAAAGATCTGAGTTCTAATTCTGGCTTTTCAAGTGTATGATTCTACAGGTAAGTTCCTTAAATCATCTAGTCTTATCTTTACAATGAGATTTTTAAAATTCAGCCTGACTTGCTAAGATCTCTTATAATTCTAAAATTTTAATTCTACAAATTTACCAATTGCTTTGAAATGTAGTCATCTGTAATTAATTGGCTGACATGAAAATTCACGTTAGAACCATTTCTCAGTCTCTCTTACAACTAGAGCTGGCTATAGAACCCAATTCTGGGGAAAGTTTTGCTTTTCTGATACTGGCACCCCCCATCTTTCTTCTTTGTTGCTTCCTTCCTCTTTCTGCTTAGAAAGCTGTCCCCTTAGGGGGAATGGCTGGAGCTGGCTACAGTTCCTTCGTCAGGGTCTTCAGGGTCACAGACCTCGAATTCTAGTCAACTAAATACTGTAACTGGCAATGACAGCACCAGGAGCCAAGAGAGGCCTGTGTGCCATGTATTCCCACTCCTACACTCAAATTACTGAGAAGAGTCTGGGGAGTACCCAGGCTTCCACATCTCTGGAGACAGTGACTGGTTTCTGGGCTACATCTTTACAGGTTTTCTCTTATTAGAATGAAAAGCTATAAATTCATGAGATGGTGTCTCTAGTGTTTCTAGGTAATCCTCATAACCAATCCTTATCAGTTCTCTTTCAAAGGCCCTTCAGAGGCTCTTCAAAACCCTTTCTGCCTTTTTAGGCACCCACCTATCCCTAGGCCCCTCACTCCTGGCACAAGACCTCATCAACCTGTTCACCAAGAATGCTAGGAATTTGTAACATAAACCTACTTATCTGCTTTCCTTTCCATCTAAAATGTTATCTGGGTCCTCAACTTAGCCTTCTTCCTTCCCCTCTTTTAGGAGACACATGCCCACTTCTCTTTCTAATGCTCACCTTTCTACTTGGGTTCTTGATTTAACTCTCTCCTGCCTCCTGAGATCTCATTCCCTTGTTCCTCTTCAATCTCCCTTTCCTCTGATTGTCTGTGGTGCTGCTTCTTTTTTTCTCTCCCTTAGTGAACATAACCACCTCCATACCTGCAACTCCCGGAATCTATATCTCTGGCCAGAACTCAAAGCTGCTCTTACACTGTCTACAAAACACACTACCTGGATGCCCCATACACATCCAAATCCATTCCTTGTCTGAAATGTAACATTCCTTCTCCTCTTTAACAGTTTCTCCTTTGCATTCCTGGTTACATTCCCTGTTTGAAAACTCATTGGTCCTCCTAGCTGCTCAGACTCAAACCTTAGGACGCTTCTTTGACCCCTGCCTCACTCCCCATACTCAGGCAGTGATGTTTTCTTTCTACTCATACCTATGCATTCCCACGACCTAGTTCAGTCCATCGACACTTTTTAGCCACATCACTGCAAAAACCTTCAAAGAGACCTTCTAGAAAGAAGGTCTCTTTTCTTCCCTCTGCTTCTGCCGACTCATTCCACATAGTTATTTTTCTAAAGGCCAGTCTGTTTATGGTGTCCCTTTCCTTCCAAAAAAAATTTCAGATACATTTTTCTGAAACAATTCTATTTTCTATTATTCTATAATTCTAATTTCTGTAATTCCAGAACATAATTCTATTAATTATTATGCTTAACTAATACTAATTAATGGTCGTTAATAACATAACTACAAATTGAAACATAACATACTAAAATAGTAAAAATATAGTAGTATTAATATAGTTAGTAAACATTACTAATAATAATATAAATATAACCTGAAATACAAAATAGTATTAAACATTTATCAAGCACCACTCCAAGTGCTTTCCACATATTAACCTACTTAAAATATCTCAACAACATTATACGGTCAGCACTAGCGACAGTCCCGTTATACAGATGTGGACATTAAGGTACACCGAAGTTTGAGTAACTTGGCTAAAGTCACATGGCAAAAAAAGATTCTTAACTACAAATTTGTAGCTTTGAGTCTATATGACCCACTGAAGAGCCATCTGTGGGCAAACAATGAATCACCAACCAATGAATGGCCCCAGCTAGAGCAACAAATGCTATTAGGTAAATAGTGGAGCAAGCGTTCCTGATGAACTGCTGGCCTGTTCTGCCAAAAGATGAACCACCCACTGGGTGATCCAGAGAGACTGGCAAGCCTAACAGGTTAAAAAAAATCAAAAGTCAGGAAGTCTAGAGATAATGCTGTATTCTCCCCATGCTATTTCATCTATCCATAAAACAGAAATAGTCTCTTTCTTGGACTTCCTGGGAGGAAAATTGTCCTCTCTGTGCATCTCACCTGGTGCTCCTTATGGGAGAAGTGACTTCTCTCACTGGTGCTACTGGGAAATGGTCATTGCATGCACGCTGCCCGATGCCATTAGCAATGGTGCATTGAGATGAGGAGCATGACCTCTGAAGCCAAACTGCCAGTTTGAACCCGAACTCTACCATTTGCAAGCTGCATAACTTAATGGAAAGTTTCTTAACCAAATGTATCTTACTCTCCTCATCCATCATACTACCAGAGTAGAGGTGCCACTTAAAAGAGAGCCTACTAGAAAGTAAACATTCACTAAATGTTAGCTATTACCATTGTAATTTGGACTTTTTCACAAGAGACCTGCCTCACATCTCGTCTGTACTCATGCCTCTTCTGTGCAGTAAGCCTACTGAGTCAGGCTCTGTCCCTGTGGAGAAAGCCAGAAACAGCCCGGTGCCTCTGCCTGGGACTGGGTAGGTAAGTTCACAATGATGCAAAAGAAATTAAGAAGCCCATTTTAGATCTGGATCCAGGCCATGCGTTCCTGTGTCACTTTACCCACCATGCAGCTGACATTTAGGTGCCTATTTGGCTCCCATGTATATATTTTTTTAATTAGTCTGACCTCAAAGAGGAGAAAATGTGACTAACTTTTAGCTCCAAACCCTAACATCAAAAGATATGGGATAACCTGCACCCCAAAGAATATAAATTACACAAGACTAGAAATCAAGGCCAACGTGTTTCTTAAGTGGCAAGAGAGAAAGGGATACTGAAAAGGAAGCATGTATAATTCACATGCAGGAATACAAAGTATCCTTACAGGCTGGTGTAGCAGATGATGTCTGTCATCTCAGAATTTTGCAAAGCCAAGAGGGGAGGATCCTCTTGGCTTTGAGACTGGGCAACAGAGCGAGATCCCAGCTCTACAAAAATTTTAAAAATTAGCTGAGCATGGTGGTGCGTGCCTGTATTCCCAACAACTTGGGAGGCTGAGGAGGAAGGTTCGATCACTTGAGCCCAGGAGGCAGAGGGTGCGGTGACCCATGATCATGCCACTGCACTCCTGGGCTACAGAGGGAGACTCTGTAGCAAAAGAAAAAAAAATCCTTACACAGGCACTAAGTCATCAATGGAGAGAAGGGACATTTAAGCAAAAATATATAAGACAGGGGCATGGTTAGATGATGCCAATGTGTCCTTACGTAAATGACAAGTTTACTAAGCATATCAGAATAAAAATAGTTTTTACCTCTGCAACTGTTTTACTAAAGAGTCACAGTTGTCTAAGGTTTTGGAAAGCCCTGACTGATTGACAACTGGGCCCCTCTGGGGCCCCCAGGTTCAGTTGCTGGGGACGGGGGCATCCTCTGTCAAGCACTTACTACAGAATTCCGCATACTCAGCTGGCAGTAGGAAGGTCTGAGGGAGAATGTGGAAAGCCTTGAATCCATGTGTATGCTGCATTCGAATAATGTTTTTGTACAGTCGGTCCTTCCGGGTTAGTTCATAAGACCTAAAAATCAAAAAAGTATTTCCATTTCAGTAAACATGACTCAGAATTTTCCTGTGTTATCACAGTCTAAAGAGCTATAGTTCACAGTCCTAGAGCAGATAGTGAAGATAATATTATATCCTAAACATATCACTATTAATCCAAAAGGCTTATTAATCATTTTCATCAAAGGGTTTTTTGGTCAGTTTTTTCCATTAAGATAAAATTTCCATACAGTAAAATTTGCCCTGTTTAATGTGTAATTCTATGATTTTGGACAAACACATACAATTATGTAATCACCACCACAATCAAGATAAAGAACAGTTTCGACATCCCAGAAAGTTACCTCAAGTCCCTCTGCAGTGGACCCTCCCAATCACATCCAGCCCCCGGGAAAACATTCATTTTTCTGTCCTCATAATATTGCCTTTTCCAGAAAGTCAAATAAATGGAACCAGACAGTGTGTGTCCTTTTGAGACTAGCTTCTTTCACTGAGCACAACTCATTTGAAATTTATCACTGTTGCATATATCAGTATTCTGTCCCTTCTCTTGCTCAGCAGTGATCTATTGTATAGATATACCATAGTTATGCATTCACCATTTGAAAGCATCTGGGTTGTTTACAGTTTTTGGAGATTATGAATAAAGTTGCTACAAAGCACTTCCATATAGATTTTTATATGAATGTAAGTTTTCATAAGTTTTAGTGTAAACCTAAGCTTTTATTTCTCTGGAAGTGGGACTGCTTGATTGTTCAGTAAGTTGTATTAATTATTTATTGCTATACAACAAATTAGCCTAAAACACAGCAGCTTAAAATAACAATAAATATTCATGATCTCACAGTTTCTGGGGCCAGGAATGTGGGAGTGAGAGAGCTAGGCAGTTCTGTGTCAAGGTCCTTCATGAGGTTACAGTCAAGATGCTGGCCAGCACTGCAGTCATCAGGCTCAAGTGGGGATGGAAAACCCGACTTCCAAATGGCTTGTCACTCACATGGGACTGCCTGCTGGCAGGAGGCCTCAGTTCCTCCCCACATGAACTTTTTCATAAGGCCAAGTGACCTCATGACGTGATAACTGGTTTCTCCCAGATCAAGTGATCCAAGAAAGTGAGCAAGAAGTTGTAACGTCTTTCACAATCTAGTCTCAGAAACAAGTCACTTCTGCCATATTCCACTACTTCGAGGCAAGTCACTAAATCCAGTCAACACTCAAGAACAGAAAAATTAAACAATTTTTGAAAGCAATGTCAAAACATTTATGAACACATTTTACAATCAACACCTAAGTATATGTTAAACTTTATAATAAACTGCCAAATGGTATTGAGGATTTTCGAAAAACAAGCTCTGTTTCTCCTGCTATATTCTGAAATACTGAAGAAAAACCCGTGGTTTTCCTACTCTCTACTCTCAATTCAACATAATCACTCAACACTTTTAACACCAAATGTGTAGGGGGTTTCCCCACACACAAAGCAAGCAATCTTGCAGTGGGCGTCCTCTAATACAATTCAATTTTGACAATACCTGCCTGGAGATGGTGTTAGTTCCCATATGTTGAAGGCTCGGTCCCATAAGACTGCCTCCCACTTCCAATGCCAATAGCAAGCCCCAACTTGTTTCACCCGCACGTCTAACCAAAGGCTCTAAACGGGTCTCTATGACTCCCTGCTTGAGTTCAATTAATTTGTTAGAGCAGCTCACAGAACTCAGAGAAACACTTATGTTTACTGATTTATTAGAAAGGATATTACAAAGGATATAGAGGAAGAGTTGCACAGGGTGAGGTACGAGAAAAGAGCCACAGAACTTCTATGCACTCTTGCACTCTCTGGGCACACTACCCACCAAGAATCTCCATATGTTCTGTTACTCAGAAGCTCTCCGAACCCGGTTCTTTTGGGTTTTTATGGAAGCTTCATTACACAGGCATAATTAATTGGACACTGATGACTAATATAATTTTCATCCCCCCTTCCCTCCCTGGAGGCTAAGCGGTGGGCTGGAAATCCTAACCCTCTAATCATGCCTTGGTCTTTTCCTGTGACCAGTCCCCATTCTAAGGCTACCTAGGGACTGCCAGGCACCACTTAAGGCATTAGTATATAAAAAGACACTTCTCACTCTGGAGATTCCAAGAAGTTAAGGACTTATATGTCAGGAAACAAGAGGGAGACTAAATATATATTTCACAAGATCACAGTTATTCAAAGTGGCTACACCATTCAGTATTCCCACCAGCAAAATAGTGTTCCATTTGCCATGCATCCTGGCCCACACTTGGTGTTTTCTGGTTTTTGTTTTTAGCCATTCTGACAGGCATATATTAATACTTTGTATAGTTTTAATTTGTATTCCACCACTAATTACAAATACTATTGAGCATCTGTTCAGGAGCATCTTGTATTTACCATCCCTGTACCTTCTTTGGTGAGACATTCATTCAGATAGTTTACCCATTTTGAAAAATAAAGTTGTTTGTTTCCTTATTATTGAGTTTTAAGAGTTTGTTATATATTCTGGATACAAATTCTTTATCAGTTATGTGTTTTACAAATATTTCCTCCAGTCCATAGCTTGTTTTTCGTTTTCTTAACTGGGTCTTTCGAAGAACAAATATTTTTAATTTTTTAAAAGCCCACTTTATCAATTTTTTTCCTTTTATGATTGTACTTTTATTGTATCTAGGAATCCTTTGTCTAACACAAGGTTGCAAAGATTTTCTGTTTTCTTCCACAAATTTTACAATTAATGTTTTATGTTTAGGTCTATGACCCTTATTTCAAATGGGTTTTTAAAAATTGATTCACAAGTATAAAATCTATTCTAAAACAGATTTCAAATATAAGTAAAAAAAAAAAAAAAAGCTGTTTAAAGTTTGACTGTTGATAAATATACCCAAACTTTCAGGTTATAAAAACGGAACATGTGAAAAAAATTCTAGCTTCAAAGGCTTCAAATGAGTCTGTGCTATTCACTATTATAAATCATTAAAAAATATTTTAGGAACCCTGTGTCTTTTACTCTAAAAAAAACACCAGTACTCCAACTAAAAGCAAGCTCCCAAACCAAAGCATTCTGGAAGCTTTTACGCCACGGGAATCTACAGATGGGACCTTCTGAGAAACAGCCTGACCAAAAAAAATTCTGAGTTAATTCTAAGTAGTATGTAAACTGTGAGAGATTGGCTACTAAAACACCAGAATTTGAGATGTTTTATTAATTTGTTTTTAGGAGGAAAAGGATTTAGTATATTTTTTAAAAGGACTGTCTAAGAAAATCAAACACATGGTTATTTAATCCATATTTATAAACCTATTGCCATAGCAATAACTGCTCAACCTCTCATATAACTATGTGGAACTCATTTCATCACTAGCACCAGGGGCCTGCAATGACCCTCCTGGATCGGACCCAAGACAAACCTTAATTTTAGGGGATAATGATCCTATTACAGTAAAGACCCAGGTTAGGAACCCCATTGAGAACTACATCATTGAGAGATGGGTATAGAAGATGCAAAGTGATAAAGAAAACCAAGGAAATTAGCACCTTAAAATCAGGGTAATAATTGCTATTACATCAGGGGTACATTCTTGCGTACAGTACTCCAGGTTAGCCTCAACTGGACTCATTGGGCTGTAATTTGTTCCATTCCTTCAAAACCACCTAAGAACCTTTGTGGTAATCATTAAAAACTTATTCAACCTGTTCCACAGTTCAAATTTTTTTCTATGATTTGTCAAATCTAGGTACGACAAACATTTCTTTCTTATCCATGGCCCTCTTCTGAAATTCCAGAGCAGAGATACTCAAACTTTAGTGTACGTACAAATCACCTAGAGAACTTCCTAAAAAAATGCTTGTTCCTGAGCCTCACCTCTCACTATTCTGGGATGAAGCCCAGGGTTCTGCATTTTAAACTAGTACCCCAGAAGATTCTGATACAGATGGTCCAGGACCCACACTAACTGCTGACTTAATCTACAACAGTAATTTCCAAATCATTAGGATATCAGAAACACTGAACCAGAGGGTAAGAAAAAGAATGCATTCTCCTACAGATGCCCCAAATCAGTGGTTTTCAAACTTCTCTGTTTGGTACAACCTAGAAGAATTTTGGGAAACTATATATCCTCTTGTATGTTTAAGCTGGCATCTAAGATTTTTCATCAGAAACTGAAATCATTCCAAAGAATCTGATGAATGGTAAATATTATATTAAGATAAAATCATAACACCACCCCCTGCTGTTCTTCCTTTTTGATGGGGGTCTTTCTGTGTTGCCCAGGCTGGAGTGCAGTGGCACAATCACAGATCACTGCCACTCTGACCACCCAAGGTTCAGGTGATCCTCCCACCTCAGCATCCCAAGTAGCTAGGCATGTGCCACCATGTTGTTTTTTTTTTTTAATAGAGGCAGGATTTTGCCACATTCCTCAGGCTAGTCTCCAACTCCTAGGGCTCAAGCGATCTGCCTGCCTTGGCCTCACAGAATGCTGGGATTACAGGCATGAGCCACTGTACCTAGCCAACACCACACTTTTAAGTATACTGTAGGGAACTAAATAACCTAAATTTAAAACGTTATTAAAGGAAAAGCTCTGTCAATAAAATTTTCACTTTTTAAAATATGCTTTTCAATGAGGTTAACGTATGTACAGAAAAGTATACAAAATACAAGGCAGGACATAATAAATTTTTACAAAGTAAACACACCTGTGGAATCACCACTCAGATTGTGTATAGAACATTCCCAACATGTCTAAAGCCTCCCTCAGACCACCACACAGACTATCCCTCAGTCACCCTTGTTTTTAATTCTTCCATTCATTTCCCACAAAGAACAGGTTAGCCTAACATATTTAATATTTGTCTTTTACATCATATCATACCTTCTCTACAGCAAAATTATACATAGGAATTGATATATGGTTTTAATTTCCTGTGATCATAAGGCTATAACTGTTTATATATACATGACTGATCATCGTTGCAAGTATTGTAGTATACAATTCATCCAAACACCAATGACACTCAATTCTGTGAACTCCTTCCTGATTATACGTCAAAAATCACAAAACAATCTGTCATTAAAATTATGTTTAGTGATCTATCATCAGCTAATAGCTAGACTATATCCTCCCCTTCGATTAGTTTAAAAACAAAGAAACAGAAACTACCATCATGCAAAAAGGATTTGTTATGCTATTACTAGAACTCATTGACACCAATTTTTTTGTACCTTTCTTTGGAACCCTGAAAATTTCTATACCTAAGGACACTATACCAGACTAAGATTCTAGGTGAGCCATTCTTTAATAAAAATGAAAAAACAGTAAGTGTGAAGGGGCAATAAGAAAGGCAAACCCATCATCGTGAGATACTTCCAAGAAGCTCAATTTTAGGAAAGAGAACCAGAAACTCTCTGCTTTAAAGCTGTCCATGTCTGTATTGCCCTTAAAAAGTGTTCACTCGGCCGGGCGCGGTGGCTCAAGCCTGTAATCCCAGCACTTTGGGAGGCCGAGGTGGGTGGATCACGAGGTCAAGATATCGAGACCATCCTGGTCAACATGGTGAAACCCCATCTCTACTAAAGATATAAAAAATTAGCTGGGCATGGTGGCGCGTGCCTATAATCCCAGCTACTCAGGAGGCTGAGGCAGGAGAATTGCCTGAACCCAGGAGGCGGAGGTTGCGGTGGGCCGAGATCGCGCCATTGCACTCCAGCCTGGGTAACAAGAGCGAAACTCCGTCTCAAAAAAAAAAAAAAGAAAGTGTTCACTCATGCTCAGGGATATGAACACAACAGTTTGATTTGCAGAGTCCTGTCCTGTATCAAAAATTTCTTTTTCTGGCTGGGCGCAGTGGCTTATGTCTGTAATCCCAGCACTTTGGGAGGCCAAGGCAGGTGGATCACTTGAAGTCAGGAGTTTGAGACCAGCCTGGCCAACATGGTGAAACCACATAACTCCTAAAAGTACATAAATTAGCCAGGCATGGTGGTGCATGCCTGTAAACCCAGCTACTCAGAAGGCTGAGGCAGAGAATCGTTTGAACTCAGAAGGCAAAGGTTGCAGTGAGCTGAGATTATGCCCCCTGTACTCCAGCCTGGGTGACAGAGCAATACTCACCTCAAAAAAAAAAAAGGCTTCTTCTTCATTTTCTTCTTCTTTACGGACATCATTAATTACTGCTGCTAGCCACACGCCCCAATGTCATGTACCTTTAAATGAAGCAAAGCAGCTACAAAGAGCATTACCTGGGAAAATGATTAACTTTTTGTGCTTCAGAGAGAGTACGAAGTAAGAAGGGCTTCAGGTGGGATCCTGTCCACATTAGGTTGTAGTCAGTGCTGCTTGGGTGAACCTGAGGGCAAACAGAAAGACAGGAAGGCAAAAAAACATCAGAGATACCCCTGCTCCAGGAAAAGCAATGGCAGAAAACGCCACAGTGATTTTCCAGCTACAGTGTATTCACAGGGGTGGCCCAATTAGTATGTGAGCCTAGTGAGACAAAAGCAGTGTATCACAGAACAAGTTCAAAGAATGGGAGGATTGGGCAAATCCCAGATGCAGAAACTAAGATAAATTAACCCTTCTCAATATTCTGCATGTTAAGACCTGAGATGAAGGCCCAACCCCAACTCCTTTCTCAGGCTGTCCTTATTCTTGCAGATACTGAGTATGAAGTGTTGATCAGAAATAAACCTTATAGTAGCTTATCAACTTAGAATTCACTCATTCATCCATTAAAATTCATTGGTCCATTATTTCAACAATTAGGCACCATGTTGAGTGCTGGAAACAAAACAGCAACAAGACAGGATACAAACTGGCATCAGAACTTCCCTCATGCCCAAGTGCGGTGGCTCATGCCTGTAATCTCAGTACTTTGGGAGGTCGAGCCAGGAGGATTGCTTGAGTCCAGGAGTTTGAGACCAGCCTAGCAACACAGGGAGACCCTGACTCTACAAAAATAATTTTTTTTTTTAATTAACCAGGAGTGGTGCCATGCACCTGTAGTACCAACTACTTGGGAGTCTGAGGCAGGAGAATCACTGAGTCTAGGAGTTCGAGGCTACAGTGAGCTATGATCATGCCCTTATACTCTTGCCTGAGTACTCAGTGAAACGCTGTCTCTAAAAATAAAAAATTTTGTAATTTTAAAAAAAGAACTTCCTCAAAATATCTCTTCCAACTCCCAAGCTAGGAACCAGTTACCAACTGTCACAAAATATCTATAGTGAAAGTCTGTTCAGCCTTTTGCCTGTCCTTTTTGATGTCAGCATTCCAATCTTCCAATTTTCTCTGGAGAATGGTTTATTCCTTGGTTTTCAAGAACCTGCCGATCACTCACCCATCCCCTCCCGCAAGGAGTGGATCCATGACCCAAGCTAGGCTAATCATTCTAGCTCCAGAATGTGATTTTTTTTTTAAGCAAGGAAAGGCAAAAGGACAATGAATGGAGTCCAGCCACATCCATGGCAGTGCCTTGAGAAGATGATCCTAAAGATTCCTGTTCCTAGACCCCTTGGGGCAGTCCTGGTCTCTCTCCTTCAAAAGGCCTGCCTTTTCAGCTTTTTCTCTGATTCCACTAGTCCCCTCTGCAAACCATGCTGACAAATCGATTCCATTTGGTTTTAAGTTAAGCAAAGTCCATTTCAGTTGCCTGCAATCAAAGAACCTCAATTAGGTATCAGATAATTCCTTACTTAGAACTGTGCCCCTGGCCCAAGCCCAAGAACACAGCAAGAAAAAACTTTTTCTAAAATCATGTGGAAATGTTTTCCATGTAATGCAAGCAGAAACTGGTAAAGCCACTCCGAAATTCAATCTGAGCTCTGCATCACCACTAAGCATTGGTCCCATGTACTTTCTAGAGCTGGCCCTGTTAATTGGTAAAGTCAGTTAGGTGGCGAGGATTTTCAGCTTTTGAGCAGATTAGGTGAGGTAGTAAAAATAAACTTACTTCATGAAATCCATGAGCTGTCAGAATGCTGCGTACCAGGCGACTGTCCGTTCGTACAATCTTATAAGACAAATGATAACGTTCTAAAGAAAAACAGAATCAAGCTCAGTAAGCAGAAAGTTAACTGTAAAAACAGAAATAAACCGTAACATGGTGGCTTAATTATACTCAATAACATTATATTCTACCATTAAAACGATAAGTTGAACATATTTTGGACCATGGGTTCTTAAAATGAGACTCATTGGAATTCATTAGACGTGGGTGAGGGAAAATTACACCTTTGTTTTCACCAGTTTCTAGTTGAAATTTAACAATGCCTTCAATTAGGAATTTAAGCAACAAATCAGGCAGTATTAACATTATCTGTGACCCTGCCACCAACAGACGTCAGATATTTTAATATTATTTAAAAGTTGTTACAATTATCTCAAAATATCACTGATTCTCATAGTATTTAAAATTTATAGTAATTAATCAACCTTCACTAGATTGTGTTATTTAATGCACTAATAAAAAGCACACATATCACAATTTCTTAAAAAAATTTTTGATTAGTATATTTCAATACAATGTATTTCCTTTGTAATTATTTACTTTTAAAAGTCTACTTTAAAACATTCTTCTGCAAAGAGGCCCACAGGCTTCTCCAGACTGCCAAAGTGATCTATTGTACCAAAAAGACTGAAAACCCCTGCTCTAGATAGCCCTCTATCCTGATTACCAGTACATCTTAGACCAGAGGTTAGGAAACATGTAGCCAAAGGGTGAAATACAGCCTGTACACGTGGTTTGTGTGTTTCTCATGGTGCTCTAAAAATAAAATTGAACTCATTACTTGGTTTCTGAAACTGAAGGAATTCATGTAAAACTCTAGATTTCTAGGCTTCTCTTAAAAAACCTGGAAGCCTGGGCTTTCTTCTCTCCAGTGGCCAGAATCAGCTGGAGAACTGCAACTGCCCCATTCAGGACAGGCCGGCACTCCTCAGTTCAGCACAGCGCCTGGCCTACTTCGATCAATCACATTTCCTGCCAGGGCCAAGCAAGCATTAGTATGTGGACTGTACATAATTATATATTTTATATGGCAAATTAAAAAATTTAAATGGGCCAAGCATGGTAGCTCACGCCTGTAATCACATTTTGGGAGGACAAGGTGGGAGGGCTGCTTGAGGCCAGAAATTTGAGTCCAGCCTGGGCAACATAGGAGAACCTGTCTCTACAAAATACAATTTAAAAAATTAGCCAGGTATGGTGGTGCATGCCTGCAGTCCCAGCTACTCAAGAGGCTAAGGCAAGAGGGCTGCTTGAGCCCAGGAGGTCAAGGCTGTAGCAGTGAGTTATAATCATGCCACTGCACTTCAGCCTGGGTGACAGAGCAAGACCCTGTTTCAAAAAAAAAAAAAGTAAAATGTTATTAATATTATTTCTCCTACTCCTCCTAAAAGAAAAATACAATTGCCACCATACTCAGTGGCAAATCAGATTCTTACGGTATATAAGTAGTAAGCAGTGACAAGCCACTTCTAATCCATATCACTTAACTATAACCCAACTCAGATATACTGAACATGCTCCAAAAAAGGAAGGGTGAAATGATATAATGCAAACATCACTGCTGGAGATTTTAAGTTCATATATACCCTGCGTCCGCTAGCCTTCTGTGTGCAATAAGGCTGGTGGGTAGTATATTTTAGACTAGAAGTTATAAATTGGTGACACAGAACCAGACCCAGCCTGCAGATTTGGTCTGTCACTAAGATGCTTTAAAATAAAGCAATTAGTTGCTAGCCTTTGAAAATTGGAAGAATTCATACGAAAATCTAGATTTCTTAAGAAACCTGGAAATGATGGTTATTTTTACGTGCCAACTTGACTGGGTCACAGGATGCCCAGATACCTGGTTAAACATTATTTATAGGTGTCTGTGAGGGTGTCTCCAGAAGAGATGAGCATCTGGGGACTGAGTATAGCTGACTGCCCTCCCAAATGTGGGTGGGAATCATCTAATCCACTGAGGGCCAGAATAGAACAAAAGGATAATTGGTTGAGTTCTCTCTCTGCCTGATTGGTTGAGCTGGGACATAGATCTTCTCTGCCTTCAGCACTCCTGGTTCTCAGGAATTTAGACTCAGAGTGGAATCTATACTACTGGCTCTTTGGCTCTCAGGCCTTCAAACTGGACCAACGACTTCCCTGGGTCTCCAGCTTGCAGATGGCAGATGATGAGACTTTTTTAGTTTATATAATTACATAAACCAGTAATCTTATAACAACAGTCATTCTCCCTTCTTCCTCCCCCTCTCCTTGTATCCTATTGATTCTGTTTCTCTGGAGTACCCTGGCTAATATGTACCTGGGCTTTCTCTCCAATAACAAGAACCCTGACTAATATGTCTAGGCTTTCTCTCCCATGACAAGAGTCAAATAAACTGAAGCTGCCCAATTGCCTAAGAAAGAACCACTCATAGCATGTTTTCTTCTGTATAAAAACATGAGGCAGAGCATGATCCTCCTTGACTACATGCATCACATCAATTCTACCAGGAGACCATAGAATTTCCTCTTCTCCAACCACTCACATGTGTCCCTAGAGGCGACTTGAAGTGCTAGGACCCCTAGCAAGTTTCAGGACTGACTGCAGCAGAGCAAATGAAAACAAGCCAATAATCTGTCAACACAGAAGTACCTAGAAAGCAGTGACCCGCCTTAAAGCATTTAAACAAAAACAGCATGGGAAATCAGAATAAAGAGAAGGCTGACATTTTTGACTAAGAACACAAAAATAACTCCCTTAATGGCAGCACAGTATAGCTGTGACCTAGTATCAGAAAATTAGGTTCCCCAGGATTAGGATTAAGGTACCTGTGCTGTCGAATGCGTGTGACTAATAAGCACTTGAAATGTGCCTAGTGGGACAAAGGAACTGAATTTTTAATTTTATTTAACTGTAGTTAATTTAAATTTAAGAATGAACACTTGATTCAATTACTGGAAATCCTATTTCAAACAACTTGCCTGTGGGGAAGGGAAGGAACAACTGAGTGTACGAATTTACTTTTTCAACTACAACAGCTATAAAATCTAAATATAGACCTAATATTTCCAATGAAAATTTTGCAGCAAGTTGAGATGCTCCATTATGTTAAAATATATACTAGATGTAAAATACCTTATTAATGATTTTTTTTATATTGAGTGAATGTGGAAATGATAATATTCTGGAACATATTGGGTTAAATAAAATATATTATTAAAATTAATTTCACCTACCTGTCTCCTTTTACTTTAAAAAATAATGCTATTAGAAAATTTCAAATAACATATATAGCTTGCATCATACATCTATTGCTAGTCTATACAAATACAAACTTACTGAACAAATACCTTCAGGGGCAAATTGCAAAAAAATGCTTCATTCTAGGAGAAGTTTACTTTAAGCTGAAAATACCTATGTTGTCTCTAAAATACAATCCCATTTACACATTTAAAGTACATACAAAAAAACCAAGGTTACGATAAAGAAAAAGCCACATTCCTGAAATATTTCACAAATAAAACATTAGAAATCATATTGTACCAAAAATATTAATAGCAAATTCAATGAAATGTATCATAAAGAGAAAAGATAAAATTGGTATCTATCATGATGAGATCAACAGAAGGTAACTAATGCCCCACATACACTTCTCAGGGGGATTTAACCACAGGCTTATGATCTGAGCAAATCTATGTCAGCTATTTAAGAGAGCAAAAAAAAAAAGGTGCAGATTGACAGTATTTAACAATGGAGAAAACTGAGACAGCAACTAGCAAAAGTCATTCAAATTGTTCTTTTCATTAGGGAAGGTGAGAAAATTGTTAAGCCACAAGGAACTGGGAAAGATACAGAAAACTCAGAAACACAGAATTTGAGAAAAGTTTAGTTGCTTTTTCTTTAATCACAGGAATGTATAAAGAAAATGACTTATAGATTTTAAAAAACAGTAATTGCTTAAATAGGTGACATTGATGGATATTATTTTCCAATAAATGTTAGGTAATCTAAAAAAGAAGGGTCTGCTTATTGGCATAGAATAAATACATCGACTACTTTACGTGACAAGCAGACCAAAAGAAGTACGTTTCGGGGGAATATCTGTCTTCATCCACCTTTAACATTTTGGCTCAAATCATATTTAGGAGGAGTTTCTCAACAAGGGGTCTTCAGTTACTCAGGCTTCAGGGAACATGAATGAACTACATCCCTTTAAATGGTAACCTAGCAACTTGCTGAGGGGATTAGGACACAAAGATCCTTGGGGAGGAAGGAGGATTCAAATCCCAGAAGCAAATGCTCACAGTCCTCTGAACTCCTGAATTATTATGGGACAATGACAAAAGTCATTAGCACAGATCTTATTCAATCAGTAAAATAAGCAGCATGAGTTTTGAGTGCCTACTATGTGTCAGATATTAAATAATCTCATGTAATCCTCACAATGCCTTCAAGGCAGATATTCTCTCCATTTTACTAATAATAAAACTAGTTAAGAGAGTCTAAGTCATTTGCCCAAGACTCACAGCTAGGAAATGCCAAGGCTGGGATTTGAACCAATCACTGAGAATCCAAGGGATTCCAAGGGAATCCAAGGGAACTCTTTCCACTACACCACAAGACGGTTCTGATCCAGTGTTATAACCTGTGAAGATGGCTACAGGCTAATACCAGGACTCAGAGCAGTGCTTAAAATCCAAGAGGAGCAGGGATAAATGAAATGATAATATACAAACAATACAGAAAACAGGAGAAATCAAAAGTTGGATTTTTAAAGCTGGGTCTTTAAAATGATCAATAAAGCCAGGTGCAAAGTCTGGATTATACCTATAATCCCAACACTTTAGGAGACTGAGCTAGGAGGACTACTTGAGGACAGGACTTCAAGACCAGCCTGAGCAACACAGAGAACACATCTCTACAAAAACGTCTTTTTAAAAAACTAGTTAGGCATGGTGGTATTTACCCGAAGACCTAGCTACTCAGGAGGCTGGGGCAGGAGGATCACGTAAACCCAGGAGTTTGAGGTTGCAGTGAGCTAGGATCGTACCACTGACTCTAGCATGGGTGACAGAGTGAGACCTTGTCACTAAAAAAAAAAAAAAAAAAAAAATTAAAAATTATCAATGAAATTGACAAACCTCTAGCTACAAAAAAGAGAAAAGACTGAAAGAACTAAAATCAGAAGTGAATGTAGGGACATTATTACACACCTTACAGAAATTAAGATTATAAAAGAATACTATATGAACAATTGTATGCAAACAAATTAGATACGCTAAATAAAATGGACAAATATCTAGAAATACATAAACTACCAAAACTGACTCAAGAAGAAATAGAAAATATGAATAGACCTACAACAAGCAGAGGTTGAAGGGAACCCATTCTGAGGCTAGCATTACCCTGATACCAAAGCCAGAAAAAGGCATCAGAAGAAAACTATAAATCAATATCCCTTATAAATAAAGACGAAAAATGTTCAACAAAATATTAGCAATTATACAGTCTAACAAAGTGGGATTTATCTTGGAATATAAGGGAGGTTCAACATATTAAAGTCAGTCAGTGTAATATACCACATTAATAGGATGAAAGGGGAAATATAATTTCATTTGATGGAGAAAAAGCACTTGACTAACACCTTTTCATGATAAAAACATACAGTAAACTAGGAATAGAGGCAAGCTTTCTCAACATGTAAAAGGATACTTAAAAAAACCTACAGCTAATATCATACTTGATAGAAAACAGAAAGCTTTCTTCCTATGATCAAGAACAATACAAAGATGCCCTCTTTCTATTCAACACTGTACTAGAAATTCTAGCCAGAACAATTAGGGAAGAAAAAGAAATAAAAGGCATCCAGGTTGAACAGAAAGAACTAAAATTCTCTCTATTTGCATATAATATGCAGACAAACCTAAACACAAAAACTATTAGAGCTAATAAATGAGTTCAACAAGGTTTCAGGATACAGTATCAATATAAATAACTCAGTTGTATTTCTATACACTAGCAGTGAATAACCAAAAAATGAAATTGAGAAAACAGTTCTATTTACAGTAACATCAAAAAGAATAAAATATTTAGGAATAAATTTAACCAACGGGGTACAAGACTTGTACATAGAGAACTATAAAACACTGATGAAAGAAATTAAAGAAGCCCCAAAATTGGAAAGACATCCCATGTTCCTAGAAGACTTAACATTGTTAAAATGGCAATACCCTCAGAAGTGATTTATAGATTCAACACACTCCCTATCAACACTGTAACAGCCATTTTTGAAGAAATGTTCTTTGTCATGTTGAGAAGGCTTGCTTAGACATATCTGGTCTAATATCCATAACGTATAAAACTCTTATAACTCGACAACAATAAAGGCAACCCAATTTTTAAAATGTAAAAAGGACTTGAATAATCATTTCTCCAGAGAAAATACGCAAATGGCCAAAAAGGACATGAAAAGATATTCAATGTCATTACTCATTAGGAAATGCAAATCAAAACCACAGCCAGATACCGCATCACATCCACTGGTATGGCTATAATCTCAAAAACAGAAAATAACACATGTTAGTGAGGATGTGGAGAAACTGGAACCCCTATACATTGTTGATGGGCATGTAAAGTGGTGCAGCTGCTATGGGAAACAGTCTGACACAAAATAAGTTGAACACAGAATTATACAATACAGCCTAGCAATTCCATTCCTAGGTATACCCAAAGAACTGAAGATAGATGTCAAATAACAACTTTCCCATGAACATTCATAGCAGCACAATTCACAACAGACAAAAGGTGGAAAGAGGCCAGGCACAGTGGCTCATCCATGAAACCAAGGCAGGATTGCTAAGGACAAAAGTTTGAGATCAACATGGGCAACATAGTGAGACTCTGTATGAAAAAAATAAATTTTAAAAATAAAATTTTTAGAAAAAGGTGGTAACAAAAAACATGTCCATCAACTGATGACTGGAAAAAATATTCAGAGGAAAACAAAATGTGGTGTATCATTGGAATATAATTTACTAGTACACAATGAATGTTATTCACCCATAAAAAGGAATGGAGGACTGATACATACTCCAACATGGATGAACCTCGAAAACATTATGCTAAGTGAAAGGAAGCCCAACAAAAAAGGCCACATATCACATGACTCCATTTATACAAAATATCCAGAATATGCAAATCTATAAAAACAGAAAATAGATTAGTGTTTGCCAGGGACTGGTGGTATGGGGGCTGGGATAACTACTTCATTGGTATAGGCTGTACTTTTGGGATGATGAGAACGTTCTGGAACTAGACAGTGGTGACAGCTGCACAATACTGTGAATGTATTAAACAACAATGACTCGTACACTCTAAAATGGTTAAAATTGTAAATTTTCTTAGGCGCATTTTGCCACAATAAAAAAATAAACACATGTACACATGATTCTGGAAAAAAAATTTCGGAGGAAAACATAAGCAGAAAATAACTTAAGAAATTATAATATTTGAGTATAACAACTCCATTGATTTTACTCACGGCCAAGGCTCTTTCCCTATATATATGTCATACCAATTTTTTCAAGACAAGGATGTCCAGGCCATGCCCAGCTCCATCCTCTGGGGAGAAGTTATACCCACCTCCAATTACTCTCATATTATTGTCCTTTGTCAGAATAGCCTCGGCATGGAATACCAAAACTGGAATTCTCCTGCAGCCTCCAGTCCACATGATACATGGATGATCCCTATAACCACAACAAAAGCCTTCATTAATTTACAGCTTAAAATCTGAACTGCTGATGCAGATTACTACGGTTTGTTGCTTAACAAGTTTTCCCTTACTTCTGGAATAAAAAATCCCAAACATCCAGTGGGAAATCATATCTCCCATTCTTAGCTGTGTATTTAAAATTAACTCTATCCCAGGTCCAGGGATGGGCCTTGATTGGTTTCAGCCAATCAAGGTATTTCATCATTCAATATAGTTACTGGTTCAGAGACAGGCAGATAAACCAATTGGAGCGCATGAGTTTAAGGAGATATGTTCTGAGACTCTGTGAGAAAGCAATGGCTTCTTTCTCTTCTGTAGTGGCTACAGAGCCTATCTTCCTCTTTGTGGTACAGGAGGAGAATGAGAAGTATGGAACTGCCACAACCATTTTGTGACCTTGAAGGGAGAGCCTGTAGCTGTTGGTGAAGGAGAAAGTCAGCAGGAGCCTGATGGAAGAGATCCTGGGTGTTAAGGCGGGAGTTTCAGAATCAAGACATGCCTAAATATGAGTGAACACATTCTCTTTATTACTTAGGACCACTGGATTATGTTTTAATTCTTTGTGCACACAAAGAATCCTAACCGTTGAGTTCACAATAATTTACATACCCCTTTTACACTCTAAGTACATTTTCAAGCCAATTTGATGACGCATCCTAAGATTCTGAGCTATGAACTCTAAATTAATACAAGTCTCCCAATTAAAATCATGTATTTTGGCCAAGTGCAGTGAGCCACGCCTGTAATCCCAGCACTCTGGGAGGCCGAAGAGCGTGGATCATCTGAGATCAGGAGTTTGTGACCAGCCTGGCCAACATGGTGAAACCTCGTCCCTACTAAAAATACAAAAAATTAGCCAGATGGGGTGGTGGGCACCTATAATCCCAGCTACTTGAGAGGCTGAGGCAGAAGAATCAATTGAACCTGGGAGGCAGAGGTTGTGGTGAGCCGAGATCGCGCCATTGCACTCCAGCCTGGGCAGCAAAAGTATAACTGTCTCAAGAAATAAATAAAGAAAATAAAATATTTTAAAGAAAGCCCATGCTAAATGGAACAATATATATTTTCCTCCAGTATAAAATCACAGGAGAGAAAGAGACCTCTGACTTTATTCTCTTTCCCTATCCTCAGGAAATCTCAGCTTAATTTTAGGCTGATGGATATTTACTCAAAGATTAGGAAAATCTTCACCCTCATTAGGGCAGGGAGGTAGGAAGAGAAAGAAAATTAAATGAACTGAATCCCTACTATGTGCTGGGATTTACAATAAGAGCTTTCACATCTCACTTAATCTCCTTGCCCGAACTACGAACTAAAGAAAAACTGTCTCAGAAAGGTTAAATAACCTGCCTAAGGTTGTACAGCTGGTTAAATAAGAGATGAGGTATTTGAACCTAACATCTGTATTCTTTCTACTGTTTGCCTCCTTAATGGCATTTCAGCAAAGTTCTATATATTGAATACCTTGGATTCAATTCTTTGAGAACTTAAACTAATCAATTCCTTAAATGCAATACAATTCATTTGGCCAAGATTCATTCGATTCTTAAAAACTCACATAACCACATCCCTTAACAAAGGCCATACCACAAATCTCAGGGCTAAGTCCCTCTCAATCCAACTTTAAAAAGATCCACACTCTGAATGCATTTTTTCAGGCTCCCAATCCTAGGAGAGAGGCAGTCTTCAGACTTAGGACAAGCTGCCAACTGCTTTTTAGTGAAAAAAGCAAGGAACACCATACCTAGTTCATTCCTCATTTTCTAGATATGGCAATGTAGATGCTTATTGTTCTTGTTCTTTGATTTGGTGACAGTACCCACTTGTGAGAAATGGTGTTGATAGGGTACCTTTTTTAGCAAGAAGGATTTTTTGTGGCTTACTTGCTTCTTCATCTTTAACACCCGTAAAATGTGGGCATGAAGCCAGCTGATTCCTATGTTCTCTTCCAACATTAATTTTTCCACTATATTTCTAAATCAGCAAGTAGAGAAAAAACAGGCAGCCTAAACTACAAAGTGTTGGACAGGAACTCTGGAAACTATCCAAAGTTCTCTGTCAATCTAGCACTAGCTACCAACTGGCACCACTATGCCTTAGCATTTACAAACAATGGACTGCTGCTCCAACTTAAAAATGCCTGAGGGAGGAACACAATAAACAGATACACAGCTGAGAAGAGCCCAGGCCCTAACTGTACTACTATCTGTGGAAAGACAGAAATCTTTCACTTACAACCTATGGAAAGATAAAAGAGGGAGTAAACAGTAAGGTCAGCTAAAAAACACTTAAGACATACGTGAAACTGTCATGAAAAACATGCTCCCACCAAGTGGTGCTAAAAGGAAAAACATTTAGAATGATTAGGAAACTGAAAATTGGGACTTTAAATTTTCATACACATCAGAAACTGGTATATATTAAAATCTACTTTTATAAGCATGAAAGAACAAAGGATTTGAATAATTAATTGCCAAACTAAATCGGTTCTGTGGTTTGCTTTATTAAAAGCCTAAAAATATTTTGGTTTTCTAGGAATAATTTTATGAGAAATAGACATCATTCACTCCTGGGACCCAGCCTACATAACTCAAAGATGGAACTGTGAGCAGCTTTTGCATTCTTGCTTCTAGGCCGTCTTCATACCATCACCCCTATTAGAAATGCCTTCCCCACTTCTCTCTGTTCATCTAAGCCCACTCTCCAAGGCCCACCTGAAGTCTCACCACCTTCAGGCAGCCTTCCCCAGCTCCTTCAGCCCTTTATGATACCTTCTTCTCTGAACTCCTGTAGTACCCACTTTATAGCTGATTGTTAATCTTTTTTTTTTTTTTTTTTTTTTTTTTCTGAGACGGAGTTTCACTCTTGTTACCCAGGCTGGAGTGCAATGATGTGATCTCAGCTCACCAAAAGCTCCACCTCCTGGGTTCACGCAATTCTCCTGCCTCAGCCTCCTGAGTAGCTGGGATTACAGGCACGCGCCACTGTTCCCAGCTAATTTTTTGTATTTTTAGTAGAGATGGGGTTTCACCATGTTGACCAGGATGGTCTCGATCTCTTGACCTCGGGATTCACCCACCTCGGCCTCCCAAAGTGCTGGGATTACGGGCGTGAGCCACCGCACCCAGCCAATTGTTGATCTTTATAACTGATATAAAGCCAGCCTTTTACAACAGCTATTAAAGTTGACATTTTTTCAGTGACCAAAGAAATCTTAAATTACATTCTTATATGAAAGTTTCTGTATCTATATACAAAGTGGTATTAGGGATCCCCAAGCAAAATATAGAAAAATAGCCTCTTTACATTTTCTATTTGAAATAATGCCATGCAAAACAAGGAATGCCTGGACAGTTTCCATTCCTGAAGTCCAGGATTGCAAGATATTAATACTTTAACACAGCTGAGGGATCTGAGCAGATCTAACAGATGTCCATGAATACACATCTTTGGATCAAGTCAACATCTTCAGATGATTTAAGGCCTTCAAACTTCCAAATCAACTTTTAAAATGTTAAGCCTGCTCCAGGTGTGAATAAGATTGATTTAAGCTTCCTAATGTAAAAAATAAGTGTCTGATAGACAAGACATAAGCTGATGAAACAAGATTAACAGTTAAAAATCAGCAGGCGTTTAAAAGGAAGAAGAGGTCCATAAATTTGGATGGGAGCAGAGAGAAAATTATACCTTTATTTTCACTAGAAATTCAGTATGTCTTAATTATGAATATAGGCAACAAACCATAGTAGTACTAGCATTATCTGTGCCTTTGACGTTATCTAAAATGACAGCTTTTTTGGGGTTTTTCTTTTCTTTTTTTTTTTTTGAGAAAGTCTCACTCTGTCACCCAGGCTGGAGTGCAGTGGTGCCATCTCGGCTCACTGCAACCTCTGCCTCCTGGATTCGAGCGATTCTCCTGCCTCAGCCTCCCGAGTGGCTGGGATTACAGGTGCTCACCACCACATCCGGCTAATTTTTGTATTTTTAGTAGAGTCGGGGTTTCGCCATGTTGGCCAGGTTGGCCTTGAACTCTCAACCACAAGTGATCTGCCCACCTCAGCCTCCCAGAGTGCTGGGATTACCCGGCCAATTACAGGTATTTTCATATCTTATTACAGGTGTTGCAGATATCTCAAAATATCATTTACACTTAACACCACTTCTAAGTTACAGTAGTTTAAGACTCACCCCCTAGATCACATGTGACCATGGTCTTTCTATCTAAATGCTGGTGTGATGAAGCTGGACAACAATTTGGCAACTCTCCTCCTAAAAATCATTCAGTCATTAAATGATGACACCTCATATTGGTGCCCCAGACATCTATGCTGCTTCCCAGTACTCCCCATCTATGATTGTTAATCAAAGACCATCACTTCAGTGTACTGATCCTATACAAGCAACAAAAACAGTCTTCGCACTGTTGTCTTTAGAAAATAAAATTTACCTTGCCCAGATTTTAAATGATCTTATTATTTAATGCATTAAAACAGCACATATTACTATATTACAAATTTGTTTTAATAACTGCATTTGAATGTAATTAGTACTCTTTGTAATGATAAATATTTTATTTTAAGCCTTAGAAATATTCTGGTAAGGAATCCATGGCATAAAAAGGGTTAAAAACTCTGATCTAAAGTAATATAAAGTATAAAGCCTTCATTTATTCATTCATTTCATTAGCTATTCCGTCAGCAAGAATTTACTACGTTCCAACTATAATATTAGGTCAAACTATTTCCAATTGTCAGTATTTGACTGTTTCTGACCTACCAAAACGGCAGTTTCATATAGTTCAATCTAACATTTGTCAGGCTCAATCTGTAAGCCCACGAATAAAAGAGACAGTAATGGAGTCAAACAACAACCTTTAAAAAGGGAAAGATTGATACTTGCAGCAGAAATTTGAAGCTTTGTGAAATGGGTAAGAGGCAGCACACTGAAAGCAAAAAGTCCAAAGAAGGGAAAGTAACCAAAGGGAATTATCCATTTAATTATCCTGAACAAGAATGACCCAAATACACTGTCAAATCTCTATTATTTTCTGTGACCTAACAGTGATAAGAAACGTTTCCTAAATTGCAGTAAGTACTCTTCCACCTTATAAGAAGGCCACCACAAATTTCATTATTAAAACCAGTAAGAATAATGCCTTATATTTGTATAGCACTTACAAAGTAATTTCACACACATTATTCTATTTGAGTTTCACCAGACCCCTACAAAATAGCCTGGGAGATATTATCTTTTTCAGGTCACATAGCACACATGTATCCAAAAGGACTCAGAATCTTAAAAATGAATTTTACCTTTAAACCAGATTTTCTCTTTACTGTGTGTCAAGTATTAAAGGAGGCAAAAAAGCAAAGTGATCAAAATCCAGAAAAGCTAAGTCTGAATCTCAATGCATCAACTACTCTCTATGGGTCACTGAGGAAATCTCCTGATATTTATGACTGAGTTTAAAAAGTGAAAATAGTAACACCTTCAGATTTAAAAAGATACACGATACAGATGAGACAAAGCCTTTATTGTCATTTATAGTAGCTATACTTAGCATTATCATTCTTTTTTTTTTTTTTTTTTTTTTTGAGACTTGTTGTCCAGGCCGGCTAGAGTGCAATGGTGCGTTCTTAGCTCACTGCAACCACCGCCTCCCAGGGTTAAGCGAGTTTCCTGCCTCAGCCTCCCAAGTAGCCAAGATTACAGGCACCTGTCACCACTCCCGGCTAATTTTTGTATTTTTATTTTAGTAGAGATGGGGTTTCACCATGTTGGCCAGGCTGGTCTCAAACTCCTGACCTGGGGTGATCCACCCACCTCAGCCACCCAAAGAGCTGGGTTTCAGGTGTGAGCTACCACACCCAGCCATTATCATTCATTTTTATTGTGATGATCCAATAATCATGAAATTGGACTCTTAACTAAAAGAACTCAGGAAAGCAATGTGGTTCAATGGACACAGTACAGGCTACAGAATTCTAATACCTTGTCTCAGAGTTACTATGGTAAGTTACCTGACATCTCTATATCAACACCATTTTATCATTGTAAAGGCTTTTGAGAAAATCACCAAATGTAACCAATGCAATAGAGTTTCTACATGTTTTTCTTCAATATTGAAACATTTCAAAATCTCCTATGTTGAGAGCTCTGAACAAGAGTTCACCAAGAGCCACTACCTGCATTTGATAACATCTAGAGCTGATGTTCACTTACGAGCCTAGAAAGAGAGCCTTATCTCCTTTCTCATAACTGATAGGGACTGAATAATAAGACTTTAAATTACATTATAAATAGAAGCTAAAACCAGAGTTAGATAGTACCCAAGGAATGACACTAGATAAAAGAATATATAAGTAAAAGAGAACTATTTTTCATCTTAAAAGCACAGGTCAAAAGCAGGCTTGCTGTTACTTACTCTTGACTTACAACCTCCTCATCCTCTGAGGATGATGCTGTTTCCTCCAGGTCCCGGGCATTCACGATTGGCATTTCCTTTAGGGCTTGTCATGCAGTCAGCAGACAGGGGCCTCAGAGACCTTTCCCAGCAGATTCACCGGATCAAACAATTTGGATGGCACAGATTCCTGCAAGAAATCAACTTGATCTGATCAACTGACCTGAAACACAATGCTGTTGTCTATTTATTGGTTATTGCTAATTATCTAAGTAATGAGGATAACTATATTCCTAAATAGTGCCCAACCTCTAGAAGTTTACCTTCCATCACGGTGCCTCAATATGCCACAAAAATCAAGATTTTTTTCAAACATACTGTCTGTGTGCTATATACTTGAATAGCTGTTACTAAGTTTGAGTTTCTCATTATTGACTAAATCTAATATGCACCAAAAGGATAGACTCTTCACTTTCAGAGCAGTCTGCGGTAGGTGACTGATTCCCTAAAATATATATTCCTTGCTAGACAAACCTGACCTGAGTTAAAAATAAATAAAAACTCAAGGTTTAAGACCCTTGCAAACATTTATTTAGACTATAGGACAAGCACGCTGACAAGATGCTATCGTGTTTCCAGTAAAATAAATTCAACAATGAACTGAAAGACAAATATATTCTCCTGAATCAAAGGTCATATAAATAGTTGGTGGGGGAAGGGACAATGCCCTTCCACCTTTAAAAATTATTCTTCCTTATTAAAAATCACAAACTTTGATATGACTCTGGAATGGGCAATAAAATTAGAAAATTTCCAACACTACATTTCTAACTTAAAATATTTTTTCCCAAAGGAAAAAAAGTACATGTTCGTTGTGTGTGTCAGAAGAAACAGGAACTACAAATAAAGAAAGTGAACATGTTTAAATGACCATAATCCCATTACTGAGAGATAACGACTTGGTGTCAATCCTTCTTAACTTTTTCATGCATTCATAAATACGATGAGACTTTCCAGGCATTCATAAATTCGATAAGACTGTAAATAAGACAAACAGACACACACACACACACACACACACACACCCGACCCTGATAATGATACCTACAGATCTTCGGCGCAGTGGGTAATGTCTAACAACCTCAATGGCTTTCTTCGGGGGATTCTCAGCGGGATTTCTTGGTCTTTCCCAAAATGTTGGGAATTCCTGTAAGTTTAAACAAACAAAACCTCCAAACGGGAAGGGATGCCAACCTTTCTTAGGCTGCCGGCAGAGCGAGGAGAAATAGGTCGATCGGAAGAAGATTAGAGACACTCGCCTAAGGAGACTTCTCGCCCTAAAGGAATCTGCTTCTCAGCCCCACCCCCAGCTCACCCCAATCCCAGGTAGGTCCGCAGATGCTCTCCCCGGGAAGGACAGGACGACCCCGCCGCCGCGATTCAACGCGGCGTGCCCGGAAGCCAATAACTACTCCCGGGCTCTGAGCGGGAAGTGCGGCGGCCAGCGCCAGCACGGACCCGGGAACGCTCCTCCCTGGGGTAGGGAAGCGCGCCGGCGCAGACGTTTACCTGTCTCATCTTCCCATGGTTTGGGCGGGCAGGAGTGGACCGCACTCTGCTCCTACCTCTCTCTTCTTTCCCCAGCACGGCTCAAGGCAGCCGCCGACCGCTGCTTTCCCGGTTACTACAACAACCAACAAGCAACCGCCGGCTCGGAGCCACTGCGCAGGCGCCCGCCACCAGGCGCTGACTACGCGCGGCTGCAGGCGCGGGCGAATGTCGTCACTGCCGCGCAGCGCTGGCGCAGAGCCCTGCCCTCAGCAGAAGGGAATCTTCTTTTTTTCGCTGTTTTTTTCTCCGCCCCTAAGAGGTTGACTCCAAACCCGGAGTTCCGCCAGGTCCAACAGGAGGGCTTACGGCGTGAGCGGCGTACCTGAGGAGAGGCTTAGGCAGCGGCAACTGCTGATTGGCAGTATAGCGGTTCACTCCCCATCTCCTGCTTGAGCAAAACCGGGACAGCCAATCAGAGAGAGGACTGACGGAAACGACCCAATCCTGGAGCAGGGCTGAGGGCGGGGGCGGGGACAAATGGCTCAGGTGGACTCCCGGCTGGAGCTGTCCTGGGGGAGCTTGTTTGCGGCGGCTGCTGCTGCCATTCCTGTACTGGGGATCCGGTCGCCAGGTAAGGAGAATATGGAGGATAAGAGGGATGTAGGTGTCTGTGTGGCTTCTGATTGAGAGGATCCGGAAAGTCTGGAAAAATGGAGGTGGGATGGAAGGTAGATACTTGGAAGGCAACCTTTTGGGGGGAAAGGGTTCGAGAGGCGATGACAAGGGGGAGCTAGGAAGATGGAGAAGGTTTAGTGAATTCAAGGAACGAAGGAATGGATGAGCGAATGAGCAGCCACTATGAGCCCAGCATTGTACAAAGAGCCTTCACTTTTTCTCATATAATTCTTACAATAACCCTTGTTAAGAAATATCAATAGGTTGGTATTTCTATCTCCATTTTGCAACTGAGGAAACCGAGAATGAAAAGTGTAAGTGACTTGCCCAGGGTCACACAGCTACTAAGTGGTAGGGCCAGGATAAGACTCCCTTTCTTATGATTAATTTTTTTTTTTTTTTTTTTTTTGAGACGGAGTTTCGCTCTTGTTACCCAGGCTGGAGTGCAATGGCACGATCTCGGCTCACCGCAACCTCTGCCTCCTGGTTCAAGCGATTCTCCTGCCTCAGCTTCCCGAGTAGCTGGGACTACAGGCACGCGCCACCATGCCCAGCTAATTTTTTTTGTATTTTTAGTAGAGACGGGGTTTCACCATGTTGACCAGGATGGTCTCGATCTCTTGACCTTGTGATCCACCCTCCTCGTCCTCCCAAAGTGCTGGAATTATAGGCGTGAGCCACCGCGCCCGGCCTCTTCTGATTAAATTTTAACACCACACCTTTGCTGGGCTGGGTTGGGCTGGGCTGGGCTGGGCCAGGACCAGGACAAAATTTGGAAATAGATGTTGCATACACGCTAGGAGGTCCTAAAGCTTTAAGAAAATTAGGTTGAGAAATTGGCAGAGCAATTCAGAAGTGTGCAGGCTCTGTCCTCATCAGCATATCTGTTGGGATTTCTAAGAGCTTCTGTGAAATGGAAGGATACGTTTTGTAGAAAAGTGGAGAGGGGCATCCATGCAACTTTTCTAAACCCTGGAGTCTCCTCTTGAAAGAGGGTGAGAAAGTAAAGACGGTAGGTGGATCTTGGCCCAAGTGATAATGGCCTATGATGTCCAGTAGACCCTCAGTCTCTGTGGTCTTGGACAGAGACCACCTTTGTGATCCAGTTCTCCCTGAAGGGCTCATCAATTCACCCTTCCTTCTCTGGATCTCTTGTTTGTTTGTTTGGGGGTCTTGTTGTGTTTCACACTGTCTTGGGCCATCACTGACTTTAATATCTATCTCACTGGGTAGCGTAGAACAATACTGAAACTTACGTTGCCTGACAACAGATAAACCATGAGCCAAGAAGATAATAATGAGGATGGAAAAAAGTCATCCCATTATTAAATTATTTATCTATTTTGGTTTTATTTAAATCAGACTAACGGAAATCACTACTCAATAAGAGTTGATCTAAGCCTTTAAAAAAAAGGGGGGTGCAGTGGCTCACACCTGTAATCCCAGCACTTTGGGAGGCCAAAGTGAATGGATCACTTTAGTCCAAGAGTTCAAGACCAGCCTGGGCAACATAGCAAAACCTCATCTCTACAAAAATTACAAAATTAGCCAGATGTTGTAGCACATGCATATAATCTGAGCTACTAGAGAGGTTGAGGTGGGAGAATCACTTCAGCCTGGGATGTCGAAGCTGCAATGAGCCATGACCATGCCACTGCACTCCAGCGCGGGTGACAAGAGCAAGATCCTATCTCAAAAAAATAAAAAAAAAAATTAAAAAGCAAAAAGTATGTAATCTAATTGTATTTTCTATACAACTTGAAGACAAAAGTGGGCATGGTATGCTTTTCTTTCTCAAAAATGGGAACTTCATTAAAATAGTCTCAAACAGTGACATAGCATTGCAAGAGTCCAACAGACCATGATTCTTAGCTCTGCCAACTTTGCTGTGTGACCTTAAGAAACTTGTTTAACCTTTCCGTCCCAACCATCATCTGTAGGGTGGAAATATTAATAGAGCCTGTCGACCTCACTGTAAGGATTAAATGGTAATATATGTTAGGTGCTTGGCACAGTTCGTGGTGTAAGTGCTCAATGACCGAAACCTATTATACTCTTGCAAGCCAACACCAAAATTGCTATTTCCTTTGCTATATAATTTTCTTACTAGTCCTAAAGCCACACATTAATTTAAAACACAATTTATAAATCTGGAAAAGGAAAAGAGGCTTTATCTCTTGCAAACACTCATAGCCATCCCACAGGGAAGAGCGCCTCCCACCAACACCAGACACAGGTACTTTGAAGGAGAAGGATTTGGGGTAGAGCTTTATTCTGGACAGGCTGGCTAAACATACATATTCAACAGCTTCCAGGAGGAGCTGTGAATATTCATGAAAGTGGTCCTGACACATGCATTTTGAGCAAACATGCATGTAACCACATATGACCCCTGTTCACTTTGGAGTGGAGCCCTCACATTGAAGTCAATTACAGCTAGGTGCTGTAAGTCACAAAGTCTTTTCGGGACACCAAGACACTCAAGTGTGTGATCTTGGTAAACTAGCCAGGAGCAGTCCACGGTCGGTGATCTTATCTGAAGAATCAGTCACTTGTCCAATCAAAGCTGTAGTTACAACAAGTGGAACAGGGGTCAGGGAGTCAACCACTGTGAGCTGGATGAGCTACAGCTGTTTTAATACTGCTTATCTCAAGGCCAGTGCTTGTCTAACTGCTTGAGAAAAAAACCTTGTGGCAGAATATAAGTTGTATTCTTTAAGTGTCGGAGTGTGTGACTTAACCCTTGCCTGGCATGGCCTTAGGTCTTGTTTATAATTTGGTAACACTGCACAAAGAATCTGTTCTGTCAGTCTTATGATCTGTATGTTAACTTAAATGCTGGTGAGTTGCTGTCTCTAAATCTGAAAAGGGAGGAGTATAACAGGGCATGTTAGATTTCCCATCTCGCCATGGCCAGGAGCTCAGTTTTAGGATTTTTCTGGGGTCCCCTAGCCCAAGAAGGGCTCTTTTCAGTCCGTGGCAGGCTTAGGATTTTATTTTGAGTTCACACACAGCAGTTTATTTATGTTTAACTTTTAGATTGTTCTTCTAGTTTATGGAGCATGGTATACCTGAGAAGCAGAGTCCAGAAAACCTAGGGATGTACGTAGTGGCCTCACACCATAAGTTCCACTCAAATGTATAAAGCTCTATAGGCTTGGAAGAAATCCGTCATCAATAGCCAGGCAGGTGTCTGTGAGTATAGTTATAATCACCTTTGAGCTACTTGTATTTCAAAGGAGTGGCATGAAAACGTGAAGGTAGAGAAGTGAAGACAGAGGACAGATTCCAACCCAGAGAAAGGCGTTCTGATTCAGGGTAATATTTTGGAGAAATTGCTTAGACAGAGATAAGTACTGTGCCACTTATTGCAAAGTATACTGTTCGTTCACCTCTATTAGTGTGAATAAATATATTTTTTTGGCCTGCTTCATTCTTTCTCCCTTCCTACTTATGGTTAACATAGACTGGCCCTCATTATCTCATGTCCTCTGCCTTTGTTTCCAAGGCAAAAAGCCCTCCCAGGTTTGAGTGGAGTCATGAGCCGTTTCCTGAATGTGTTAAGAAGCTGGCTGGTTATGGTGTCCATCATAGCCATGGGCAACACGCTGCAGAGCTTCCGAGACCACACCTTTCTCTATGAAAAGCTCTACACTGGCAAGCCAAACCTTGGTAAGAAATAAAAGAATTTCTGCATCCTTTGTAGGACTGGCCCTATGCTGTGGTTCCCAAACCAGGCTGTACATCAGGATAACCTAGGAAACTTCAACAAACACAGGGTACCCATTTCCCTCACCAAACCTATTTGTTGAACCTGGGTGGAGCTCAGGAATCCAGTTGCTAAAAGCTTCCCAGATGATTCTGATGCTGCCTCAGCTAGCCTTTGGCAGCCACTGGAGTAATAGACTTTGTGGTAAGAACTTGACCCTTTTTCCTCCAAGCTTCTTTGAATACTTTTCATTCATTTTACACTGCCCTGGGCAATTTTGTGTATTTTTAAAAAAAGCATTATAAGGGCAAGTGAGGAAATAGACTTATGTGGTGACTCTGTGTTGCCTCACTAGAAAGCCATAAAGAAGCTTTTCCCATATCTCAACGCCCTCTTCAGAATTAGGTTGGGGCTTACATGATTCATATTCCATGTTACAGATGGAAAGTTCTTAATCCAAGGTCTTCCCATGACATAGTCCCTGAGAAGATATTTAAAATCCCTTCAAGTTGGTCTTCAAAAATGAAACTTAAGAAGGCCCATGGCAGCCTTTCCTGGCTTCCTGAGCCTCTCTGCTGAGAGTGTTTGTCCATTTCAGCTTGTGCTTCATCATGCTGATGTGTGGGGTAGTTTAAGCTGCAGCACTGTTTCACAGCAGATGACAATTCTGTGTCACATTTATAGCTAACCCAGATTCAGGCTCTGACCTAGCTCGTTTTTCTGCAGTGTCTGGGTATAAAATGAAATTAAGTAGGCTAAGGCTCATTTTAAGAAAAGCTCAAATATAATAAGAGTAAAGAACCAGTAAAGTGGGAAAGTGAGCAGAATAATTCCATCTTTTCACCTTCAAAGGCTGCCCTCAGATGGTCATGGAACCCTATATAGATTCACAGATTTTGAGAGGTTATCTGGTCTAGCCCTTTGAGTTTAAAGTTGAGGCAAAGAAGTCTAGAGGTCACGTGACTTAAAGGCATATAGTTAAGCAGAACTTTGTGTGTGTATATGTTCATCCAGTACAGAAATGGAGGCTGCCATCTCCCTTATGATCTAGTGGCCATGATGGTACTCTCCTAAACGTAGCAGTACTTTAAAGTGTCCCACAGAATTTCACCTGATACCTAATCTGGTTAGGGTGGGTTGAGTACTCTTAACTAGAGAAATGTCCATAGTCTTCTCATGAGAAATGCTATCAAATTGGTTTATAAAGAATGTAGCTCTCCAGGGCTAATGCTAGATATTTGGCTGGAATTTTTTCTAATTACCATCTAAAGGTTTTCAGTATTGTGAATTTGGGAGAGCTGTCTGGTTGTCCAAAGGCTGAAAAAAATCCTTAAAGCCCAAGTAAGCATGAATAGATCTTCCAGTTGTCAGTTTTGTCCCTTAAAATGTCTCTTACTCAGCAGGCAATAGACCAGCAAAGGAAGTATCTTTGCTTTCACTGTTTTGACATTCCCAAACCACTGGATGCCTTAGCTCCATGGTTTTGCATTTAAATCACCCAAGCAGGGAGCTTCTAGAAAATACTTATACTGGGTGCCCTCCTCCAGAGAATATAATATAGTTTCTCTGGTACCCAGGCCTTGTAATTTTATAAAACTGCCACAGTTGATTGTAATAAATGCCCAGAGTCAAGAACCCCTGTTATGGTGCAATATGACCTATACTTTCAGGATAAGATATTTAATACAGCAATATCAGAACAAAGCCGCCAAGAGCAAGGTGCCCCCAGCAAAAACTAAAAAAACAGTGCTTTGTCCCACTGCCATGCACACAGGCCTGGTGTTAGTTCATCCAACAGCATAGATCTGGATGCAGGAAGAGACCCAGGCACTCCGATATCTTAAAGACCATATTTGGCCATCTAAACTGGTCCCCAGTATCTCTGAGTTCTCTTCTGGATTAGCCTTGAAAGTCTACTGGCCTCCTGGCATCTTGTATTGCCAGACCAGTCTTTATAACATTCCCCCAAACCTGTCCTGATCCAGACCCTCTTGGCTTCCAGGACAGAAGGGGTAAATTACTACATCTAGGAGTTATTTGCCTAACTTGGCTCTTTGTTGGGTTTCCACCCTTGGAACTTCCTTCTAGTTCCCATGTGTGCCACCAGGACCTCCATCCTGCCCAGCCACAGAGAGGTCAGGTTAAGCTCCTACCTCCCATGAACCACCACTGAAGTAGGAGTTTGGAAGGAACCCCAGATCTCCGCTTCTCAACACTCTTGCTTTTTTCTGCTACACAGTGAATGGCCTCCAAGCTCGGACCTTTGGGATCTGGACGCTGCTCTCATCAGTGATTCGCTGCCTCTGTGCCATTGACATTCACAACAAGACGTATGTAAGGGAAGGAAGAGCTTTAGCATCCTTTTGTTGGAAATCAGATGCAAGGCATACATGTTACCTTGAGTAATGAGAACTGTTTTGTAATCATTTTAATGCATTAGCTTAGAATGTACATAATAAAAGACTCATAGGTTACATTCCTTACAAACCTAGAAAATATAACAGACCTAACAGGTCTTCATTAAAGTCTGAAAATTCTTTGGAACTGACATAGCAAACTGGCAGGTCATTATCCAGTGGCCTGTATCAGACCCCTCCTCTTCTTTACAAAAGAAATCAGCCTTTCTTCTACTAAAGAAGTAGAGTGATATGCTCTTTTTAGAGTAGCCACCCACACATACCTTTCTCACATTCCTCCTTAAGCAGCAGGAATGAACAGAAATCACGATCCATGAAAAAAGAGGAACCCACAAGTAAACTGTTGTATGCGTATGCAAAATCAGCAGGTGAGGGTGAAAGAGAAGCCAGGGCTCCTGAATTCTACCTGTCTTGAGTGCTCAAACAGACCAGGGTGAACAATTGCAGGCAATCAGAAGCCGTAACTGGCTCTGGCCACTGGAGGGGGCTCGAGTTTTCTTCCCAGCAAGAGTCATCACTATCTAGGTGGAAATAGTTTGTTCAGGTCACCAAGGGAGGCTGTCAGAATTACAGCTTCCCATTAAAATGTTTTTCTGTCTTATCCAGGCTCTTGGCATCTGGGGAAAACAGGAGGCGAAAATATTTATTGAGCCCCTCTTACTATGCCAAGCTTTTATCTACATGATCTTAAGTACCTTCTTAGCAGCCCTGGAGGTCATGATTTTTATTCCTGATTTTGCACATCTAAATATTAGAGATCCAATTCGTTTAAACTAAGAAAGACTGACTCAAGTGAGATTTGAAGCAGGGAGATTAACTCCTTGATCTACTCAACTTTTTTTTTTCTTTTCAAACTTGAAACTGCAGTTTACTTGTCCTAGATTGACACATACTTTTGGAAGCAGTGTGTTTAGTTCTGGTCCCAGTTCTGTTGGTAACTAGCTTTGCAGTAGCAAGTCCATTATTTACGTTCCCTGCATGGTCTCTTCATCTATAAAATGAGAATTACTATAAAATAGTCACCTCAAGGTGACTAAGAGGAAGGGAGGATTGAAAAATTATTTTAAAGACCATGTACCATGATGAAGAATTACTGATGAGTATAAGGGATATATCTTTTGCTTGTGCTTTTGGAGTGAGCAAAGACAACCCAGACTTACCTTTAACTCCATTACCATGTACTTTTCCCTCTCCCCACACAGGACGGCTGCAAACGCTGACTCCTGTTTCCAGCCCTTTCTAACCCAGGACTTTGATCCCTGTACTTCTGATGTGTACTCTGATCCTGTTCTCTCCCTAACTGGAGACTGGAAGTCAACACACATACATACTAGTTTCCAAAATGTGGCCAGGCACGGTGGCTCATGCCTGTAATCCCAGCACTTTGGGAGGCCTAGGCGGGAAGATCACTTGAGGCCAGGAGTTCGAGACCAGCCTGGCCAACATGGCAAAACCCTATCTCTACTAAAAATACAAAAATTACCCAGGTGTGATGGCATGCACCTATAATCCCAGCTACTCTGGGAAGCTGAGGCAGGAGAATCCCTTGAACCCAAGAGATGGAGGTTGCAGTGAACCAAGATTTTGCCTCCAGCCTGAGTGACAAGGCAAGACTCAATCTCAAAAACAAACAAAAAAAATTTATAAAAACACCACAGGAGGATACAAATCAGATGTGAGATACAAGTTACTTATAGGGATGAGGGAGAACAGGCTCAGAGCAGGATAAGGATACACAGGATGATTTAACTCTTCTCTGTAATTTTTTGTTTCTTAGAAAACAGTCTCTGAAACAAAATGTCAAAATGTTAAGATTTGTTGGAGCTGGGTGTTGGTTGCATTGATGTTCATTATGGTATTCTGTAAGTTTTTGTATGTTTGAAATATTTCATAATTCAAAAAAATATATACTTAATAAAAGATATCAGCAAATGAAGTGGGCAGTCACCTAGTAGCCTGTCTCTTCTCTACCTTATAGTCAAAGCTGAAAACCAAGTTCTCTTCCCATGAGATTGGTCACCATGTCCTCGGTGTGACTACTTTTCTAGGCTAAGACACAAAGTAACCAATGTATATTCCCAGAGCATCTGAAAGCCCCAGAGGTGTCCTTGCTCCTTATTCCCCGTGAGGCCATTCATTCTCTGGTTTCCATCATATAAACACCGACAAGTACGTGGCCAGATGCCTGTCAGGTGGGATTAGACTGCAGAGTCAACCAATTTAGGTAAATAAAATATGTAAGCATGCTGGATCCAATGTTGTCTATACTGCCTAGGATTGTCATAATTCAGGCTCTGCTTTGCTATAGCTGAGTTCACCACTTTGCCGAGACTTGGAAATTCATTCTGGATGCCTGAGCCATTTTCCTCTGTTTAGCAGTTGAAACCTTCAGTTTTGCCCTAGATGAGAATATTGGTATGATCAAATAATCAGACACTTGTTCCTCAGGAACAGCCTGGCCAACACATCCTCAGGAATAAGTGTCCTTTCTTTTAAGCTTCATCGCATCCTGGGTTCTTATTTGTATGTATCAAGTCTGATACTTTTCCTCTGTTCTGTTCTGAACAAACAGTAACTTTGATTCTCATTTCTGTCTGCTTCCTTGTAGGCTCTATCACATCACTCTCTGGACCTTCCTCCTCGCCCTGGGGCACTTCCTCTCTGAGTTATTTGTCTATGGAACTGCAGCTCCCACAATTGGCGTCCTGGCACCCCTGATGGTGGCAAGTAAGCATCCAACCACCCTACACCTCCGACATGAACTGTCCCAGCTCTATAGCTAGTACAGAGGGTGGACACAGGAGAGATAGAAGGAAGGTGCTGTATTTATGTTAGGCACTAATCTTTTCTCTATTAAGGTTTCTCCATCCTGGGTATGCTAGTCGGGCTCCGGTATCTAGAAGTAGAACCAGTATCCAGACAGAAGAAGAGAAACTAAGGCCAGCATTACCACCTCCAGGACTTCACCGTCTTCTACCTTGGCTGTCTTCTTCCTTCATCGTCTCTCCTCTTTAATTTCTTTTCTGTTCCATCATCAGCCCCATTCACTTTTAGCCTCTTTTTTTTTTTTTTTTTACATTTTTAAAATTTAAAGATCTAATATGCATACCGAAAAGCATATAACATGTATGTACAACTTAAAGAACAATTTTAAAGTGAATACTATGTAATTCCATCCAAGTCAAGAAGTTGCCAGCTCCTCGGAAGCCCACTGTGTCTCCTTCCCCAACTTACAACCTCTTCCAGGCTCCCTTTTCCACCCTTTCTCTTTTGCCCTTTTATTTTCATGCCTTGATTTGACTTATGTGGTGGGAACGTGTGAACTATGAAACTTAAACCTGCTGCCCACCCAGAGCAGCTGTGACCAAGGGCTGCCTCAAGGAGTTGTCCACCAGGTTGGGCTCCTCTCTGCTGCTGGACCCAAGACTCTGAACCTTCCAAGGGACAGGCAGTTCTTCCAAGAAGGGCTCCCCTATGTGTGAGCAAGACCATGGCTCTCCTTCTATCTACAGATGCATGAGGGTTGGAAGAGTCTGGGCTGTTTTTAGACCTTCTGGTCAGCTGTATTTGTGTAACAACTTTTGTAATAAATAGAAAAACCCTCTGCTCTGATCCGTCCTTGTACTTTGACCTCTGCTAAGACGAGACCATGCCTGCCTCCTCTGAGTCCTAGGAGTATCACAGCTTCTGCCTGATTGAATACACCAGAGTGAGTAGGACAGCTCAAGACACAGGTCAGCCTGGCTGCCTCCAGCTCCTTATTGTCACTTGTTCATTTCTCTTGTGATCTTGAAGTCAAATCTTCTTTTCTCCCACCTTCAAGATTCTGTATTCACAACTAAACCCTCAGTACCCTTTCTTGTTTCCTCCTAAAGAAAAAACAGATCCTTGAGAGAGCAGAGACAAAAAATAGAACTAGGCAGCATAGATGAAACAACTGCATGACAAGAAAAGAAGACAACTAAATCCCAAGGGGAATGCACTGGAATGGACAGATGCTCTTAAACACTACCCAGAGGGCCTCCCCGGCGGGACCATCATACACAGCATGTGTATCCAAAAGGCCATGTGTTATTTCAGCAAATATGTGTTGAGTGCTTCTCCATGCCAGACATGCGGGAAAGAGAAACGAGTGACACCAGCAGTGCCCCTGCCCGTGGGTCTTACGTTGTAGTCAAGGTAACCGAATCAACAAGCCAACACATCAATAAAGAACTGCAGATAGTGATAAGAACGCTAACAAACACAAGGTATTTTGGTCAAGAAGGAATGTGGGGTGGGCACTGGGGAACCATAACTTAGATAATCAGACAGTCATCCCTGAGAAGAAAGGATTTTGGGGTTTTTTTTTGTTTTTTTTCTGTCACCCGGGCTGGCGTGCAGTGGCATAGTCATACCTCACTGCAGCCTCAACTTCCTGGGCTCAAGCGATACTCCTGCCTCAGCCTCCCAAGTAGCTGGGACTATAAGTGTGCACCACCACCCAGCTAATATTTTGGGGGGTGGGAAGAGATGGTGTTCTCACTATGTTGCCTAGGCTAAGAGGTGGGATTTGAGCTGAGATTTGAATGCCCAGGAGTCAAATGTCTTGAGATATGGAGCAGCTGTTAGAGCAGAGGGAGCAGCAGCTATAAGGCAGAAATAGTCTTATTCAAGGAGTAAGAGCTATGTAATCACAGCATGGTGACGAGTTAGGAAGTGAAAGAAAAGGTCAGAAAGGGAGGCAGGGGGTTTATAAGGGTGTGATAGGAAGCTTGATGTATACCCTTAATACACTGGGAATTCTCTTATTAGTTAAGGCTCATTAGGTAAAAGGACAAGACTTACCTTAAACTAGCTTAAACAGTGAAGATAACTGGCTCATATAACTGAGAACAAATTACAAGATGATAAGCTTCAGAAGGGTTTGATCAAAGACTCCAGCTCCATTTCTCTACGATTCTGCCTACCTGTGCTGGCATCCTCAGGCTGGCTTCTTTTATGGTGCCAAAGTTGGTTACAGAAATTCCAGGCTTCATATGCCCAGAACACTATATCTAGGAAAATATCTCAGTGGAAGGAACTATCCTTTCTTTACTTGCCAGCTATATTTAGGAGGCAGTAAGAAAAGCAGTGATGACAGTTAACATGGGAATGCAGATCCACAGAGACCTCTTATGAAAGGAGTGAATGAAAACATTGGATAATTTAGGTCCTCTGAGCATGTGTCATAGAAATGTGATTCCAGACAAGTAGTGGCAGGATCCCAAAGTATCTAAAGAGGTGTATAGTTAGAGTATTTAGCAGACACTATGGATATTAGATTTTTGTGTGTGTGGAGACAGGGTTTCTCCCTGTTGGTCAGGCTGGTCTCAAACTCCTGACCTCAAGTGATCCACTACTTCGGCCTCCCAAAGTGCTAGTATTATAGGCGTGAGCCACTGCACCGGGCCTTTTTTTTTTTTTTTTTTTTTTTTTGAGATGGTATCTCACTCTGTCACCGGGCTGGAGTGCAGTGGTACGATCTTGGCTCACTGCAACCTCTGTCTCGCCGCCTCCCAGGTTCAAGTGATTTTCCTGCCTCAACCTCCCAGGTAGCTGGGACCACCACGCCTGGCTAATTTTTGTATTTTTAGTAAAGATGGGGTTTCCCCATATTGGCCAGGCTGGTCTCGAACTCCTGACCCTGTGATCTACCCGCCTCGGCCTCCCAAAGTGCTAGGATTACAAGCATGAGCCAGCCGGCTGAATATTAGATTTCTTAACAGCCCAGGCTTGGGTACCTTCCTAGATCATTTAAAAGAGAATCATAGTATTGTTTCTCCCCAACTAAGAATTGCTAATAAATATGGTACTAGAATGCCACAGGCATAGTACAACTCTCTAGGGAAAAAAATGTACGGAACACAGATAGTAGCAGCTTATCCATTCACTAGGTGATCACGACTGGGGAGGGATGAGTGACAGGAAGTTGGACATTTCAGAAGAAAACTGGGAACGCAGAAAAGCAGCTACTGGGACTGAGCAGTGAGCCCCAGCCACAGCAAGCTGGGGTGTGGCTGGGTAAACAGAGAACAAACATTTCAACCACCCTTTGAAGCCGAGCCAGAAACAACAGTGGACTCGCTCATAAGCAGTCCACATTCCAGTGTGTACCCACCATGGAAAGAGGTCAGGGTCATGTGCTGGATGCTGAGTTGCAGCCGCCCCCCGCCCCCCACCCCACCATGTAGGCAAACAGTAGCCTTTATTTACAGCCTTGTCTTTAAAAAATATCCATCCCGGATGGTAACGTCTGGCAACAGTGAGATGCTCCTGTGGAAGGCCACAGTTGCTGCTCCTCTAGCCTTACATGCACCCCTCCCAGCCCAGTCCTTCCCCACACCTGAGACACGGGCCTCGGGAATGTGTGTGTGACGGTCTTGTACGGACTTCCAAGAGCCATCTCTGCCCCACCAAATGATAAGGCAGACTGCTTTCCGAGAACTTTTTATTGCCTTGAAACGTCCGATCTTAAAAATAGAAAATACAAATTATGTTTTTAAAATAAAGCAATAGGTTTGGTAAACATTTTGTTAATACATTTTGAAGGGTTGATGAGTAAACATCTTTCTCCTTATCAAAAAGTAAAGTACACCCTCACCTCTCTTCCATACTAATTCACTACTTCTACCAAAAGCATGAACTTCTTTCTTCTATTACATACAGCACATTCCTTGCATCCATTGCTTAAATCTCTACAAACACACACACACACACACACACAGAGACATACACAAACCTGGCTCCTCTCAGGCAGTGGCCCAGGCACTGAAGTACTACAGCCAGGTCAGGCTGCCCAGATACACTGAGGCCAGGGCAGTGGCTGGAGCAAGACAGCACAGTGGTCATGATCGCAACTGCCCAATGCATAGGAGAAGTTACCAAAATCTCATTTTTAGGAGGTATTACGAAAGCCAATGAGCACAGCCAGACAGCAGGCTAGATAGAAAAGGAGATCAACTTGAGTTGATTTAAAGAGAATCCCTTTAAGTTTAGAACGTCTGATAAAGATTATTACTCAAAGCAGGTGGGATAGGGGTTGGTGGCACAAATACTGTCCCCAGCAGAGGTGAGATAAGCTTTTAATTCTATCAGACTCAATTCCCATTTCAAGGGGGCACCACCTTTCCTTCTACCCCTTCCCTCTTATCTCTCAGAATCAACTTTGGATTGGTCAGAGTGGAATGAATCAAGATTAGTTTTTAGTAAAGTTTAGAGTAAGTTGGCTGGGATTACCCTGCCTTGGAATAAAACAAGCACTTGGGCTGATGGCTGAGATTCCCAACACAGCATTGAGATAAAGGCATCAGAGGTGATGTGACACACAGAAGTCCCTGGGGAAATACGTCTGTAAAAAAGAACCTTCCCATTCCCAACTCAAGCTAACAGAGCTTCCAAACGTGGGCCTCCACAAATACACTCAGCAGGTAGCCCCCAGAACGATCACACCTAGGTAGTAGCCCTCCCAAGTAGGTGTCTCCATCATGGCCACAACAAAGTCCTTTGTCACGTTTATTAATGTTTGGTTTGCTCAGCTCTTAGGAAAAAGGGTTTGGAGACAGACCCTGTTAGGCCAGGAGAATTTAGGCCCACAAGTCCTGATGGAGCTGTTCTGATGGAGTTGTTCTAGTGGTGCTTCCTCTAGAACTCAGCAGTCAGTCCAGTGACCCAGGAGATGACCCCTGGCAGAGCAGCTTGCCCCTTCTTACAACTGGGCTTCATGAGAGGCTCTTAGGACACTGGAAATTTCAAGTTAATATTCTGAATAAGCCCTCTTCCTATGATAATTTTGCAGGCATTGTCCATGAAGGATGGAGAAAAAGAGGGAAGGCAAGAGACCAAGCTGGGATTGACTCCACTATTCTCTGCCAGCCTGTCCCAACACCAACTCCCATAACCTTAAGTGGGTGGAGGTGGGAATCCAATTTGCATTTGGTGAAAAATGCAATTTTCTCCAAGTAAATCATCCAAGCTCTTACATGGGTTCTAGGCGGAATAGGCCATCCAAGCCACAGATAGTCCTGCTGGTTCCCTCCAAAAACTTCTCTAGCGAAGCGCTTTGTGCTGGCGGTGAGAGCTGTGCTGAAGGAAAAGGTGGGGTGTTCATGTTCCCTGAGTTGTCACCACCTTCCTCTCAGAGATGATCCTCTGACACAGCAGTGGGCAGTTTGCTGCTGTTGCTCTCTTCCTCCTCTTCCTGGAGTTTCTACAAAGCAAAACAGGCAGCCCTGTGGGTAAAGGGAGAGGACTCCATCCTGGCTGGAGCAACTGCCTGTCTGTGACTAATCAGTGCAGAACAGCAGAGCCAGGGGCCACTCAGCATCCCAGAGACACAGGAAAGAGAACAAGAAAAGAAGCAACCAGCCCCTGCTATAAATGCACTCACAAACACACCCCACCCAATGTCACAAGGTCATCAGAGGGAAAAAGGGCCAGCTTTCTATGATGTCAAGGCCACCACAAACTGAGTGCCCCTCTTCCAGGCTCGCTCTTGGGATGGAAACAGAAGCAAAGCCCCTTTTCCTTCCACATTCTCACAGCTAAAAACTCACCTCGACTAGCCATCAAATCACTGTCCAAAGTGCCACGTCTGCAATTCCCTCAAAATTTCCAACAATCGCCATTTGGAGGCAGTCCCAGGGTGAGGAATACAGTTTTTCTTTTTTTTTTTTTTTGAGACAGAGTCTCACTTGCTGCCCATGCTGGAGTGCAGTGGCACGATCTTGGTTCACTGCAACCTCTGCCTCCTGGGTTCAAGTGATTCTCCTGCCTCAGCCCCCCGTAGCTGGGATTACAGGTGGGTACCTCCACGTCTGGCGAATTTTGTGTTTTTAGTAGAGACATGGTTTCACCATGTTAGCCAGGCTGGCCTTGAATTTCTGACCTCAGGCGATCTGCCCAACTTAGTTTCTCAATGTGCTGGGATTATAGGCATGAGCCACCACGTCCAGCTGAGTATACTATCATAATGAACAAGCAGTAGATGCCAAGGAAGCATATATAATTGCATATATAAGCTCAGTGGCTTTAGCTTTCTAGGGGACGGATGGCACAGGATTCATTTACAGGAAAGTCTTCTAGATCATATTTTTAGGTGGGTTTGGAATTACATATGGCCTGGAAATTATCCTGTGGAGCCCCTAGGTACATGCTGCCAACCTGGGCCACTGTCTACTGTTTTAAGCACTTCGTCTGTGACATCAAGGGTTCTTCTTCACAAGAAGGCCTTGGGCACAGCACCACATAGCCAACATCACTCAAGGGCTAGAGGACACACACAGGGCTAAGACAGAATCCAGTGTCAAGTGGACAAATGGTGCTTTCTTCCCCAGGGAGTGTCTCAGTGTCTGTTAGTGGCAGTGGCAACAGCTGTAGAAATCCAACCTTCCCATTCTCAATCTTCATAATACTCGGCATCAAGTCAGCCTCAGCCATGAGGAGTCATCATTCAGGCAACTAACAGCCTATTTCAGTCACTCAGTCTCCCCTCTCTCTGACACACACACACACACACACACACACACACACACACACACACCACCTGCCTCCTCCAAAGCCGTCATCACAATCACGAACAGGAAACAAGTTAGTGGAGACAGAAGTGCAACTACTGTATGTGCTAGAAGAAAAACGGAAACCCAAGCCAGTAAGATGCTCATAGTCAAGGTCAATCATTACCCCGTCCCAGAAGTCCTATCTCTTTTTCCCTAAACTATACATCTCACTGATTAGAAAGAGCAGGTCTGGCCAGATCTGCTGTGTGCCCAGTCTTCACCTGGCTCCAACAATGAATTTGTCTGCAGGTCTCTGAGTTATAATGGCTGCCATGGGGTGTGTAATGTCAGGGCTCCAGAGGAGGGCTGCTCTGTGATGGTCTGGCTTCCTTGCTGGTGTTAGCCCAGCATGACTTTCACCCCACCCCCAATACCAAGCTGCCACAGGTGCCAGGGAGGCTACAGACACATAGTGAATTATCCAGGGACACAAGAAGGTGAGCACCGTTGATCGGAACCTAAGGCTCCTGTTCCCGCTCAGCGCTTTTTCTAGCACCCCACACTCAAAGAGAGTGAGCCAACAATTGTACCTTGATTAACAAACCTGGTCTATGTGCACAAAAATCTGGCTGCAAGAATCATGAAATAGCAGAGCAACTGAAATATTGAGCTAAATGGAAATATACAGTAGACATGAGCTTGTGGTAGAACATCATAGTATAGAAATTTTATCAAGCTATACTAAGTAAGCGAGCAGAGTAGAAAACAAAATATACACAAGCGTGTCCATAGACTACAACACTGGAAATGCTACTAGGTTATCTGTGGGAAGCAGGATTATAGGTGATTTTGATTTTCTTTGTTTGCCTATGTCTGCATACTTTATAACAGGTTATAAAGTAAACTCAGCAAAATCTCATCTCACTTGACACAATATGTCACGTTCCAAATTGAAACCTTTCACCAGGCACCTTTTCCCAGGCTCACTATACATGTATTTACCCAAGTGTACCAAATCGTTCCTCTTTTTTCTTCCCCCCAGAGACAGAGTCTTGCTCTGTCATCCAGGCTGGAGTGCAGTGGCACGATCTCAATCCCAGTAGCTGGGATTATGGGTGTGTGCCACTAGCCTGGCTAATTTTTGTACTTTAGATGAGATTTCACCATGTTGCCCAGGCTGGTCTCAAACTCCTGACCTGGTGATCTGCCTGCCTCGGCCTCCCAAAGTACTGGGGTTATAGGCATGAGCCATCACGCCCAGCCAGTTTACCAAAACATATGTCTCCTTGTACACAGCATGGGTGAAAGCCCATCTCCATGGTGACCCTATTGTGGTCCTCAGGCAGAACTAAAGAACATCATCCCTGCTATAAGGCCCTCCTTGTCTCCCCAGTGAATTTCCTATTCTAGGCCCCTCCTACCACATGCTTGTCTGCTGCTGCCTGCCAACTCTAGAATGTAATAGTAAAGACCTAAAGATTATCATCTATCTGCCAACACAGATCCTTAAGACACTAAAAATATCCCTAACAGATATCTCTTGCCTCAGAAAATTGGCAAAGATTTTTCAAAATGAAAAATACTCAGTGTTGGCGCTCATATGACTGCCTACTGCCTAGCAATATACATTGCTAGTATTCATAGTACCTTTCTAGAGAACAGTTTAGTAAGACATGTCAAAGTCTTTAAAATGGGCATGACCATTGATCCCTTTCTCAAGGAAATATGGTACTTGAGAATATGCACAAAGATTCAGCTTCTAACATATTAATCACAATATTATTTGTAACAATTCAAAACAACCTTTAATGTCCACAGACAGGAAAATTGTTAAATAAATCATGACTTATCCATATAAAGGAACACTATGCAGGCATTAAAAGCATGTTGTAGGCCAGGCACAGTGGCTCACTCCTGCAATCCCAGCACTTTGGGAGGCCAAGGCTGGCTGATCATTTAAGGTCAGGAGTTTGAGACCAGCCTGGCCAAATGGCGGAAGCCCATCTCCACTAAAAATACAAACATTAGCTAGGCATGGTGGCGTGCACCTGCAATCCCAGCTGCCAGGGAGGCTGAGGTATGAGAATTGCTTGAACCTGGAACACAGAGGCTGCAGTGAATTAAGATTGCACCACTGCACTCCAGCCTGGATGAGAGCAAGACTCTGTCTCAAAAAAAAAAAAAAAAAATGTTGCAAAAGACTAGTTGCCTGATAAAGTGTTTGCAATAAGTGAAAAAAGCAGACAGAGTTTCATTTCTGTTTTAAAATATTTGCATTTATATACACATATTCATATATCTCATGTGGATACAGGCACGCAGAAATCAATGCAAAAAAAGCATCTCATCTCTAGATGATGAAATTACAGGATGATTTTTAAATTTTGTACACTTTTCTATATTTTTTACGTTTTCTACCAAGAGCGTGTAAGTTTATTTTTAATTTTTGAATATCCTACCTTTACTCTTTCTCAGATTTGAAATTTCTTTCATCATCACTCAGATTTGATAGCTAACATTTTGTTTAAAGTGGTTCCCAGCCAGTTAGAACAGATGAGAAACACTTTTCTGTTCTAGGTCACACTCCTGGTCCTCCCCTCTCCTACCCCAGCTCCTGCTTCCTGACTTGTCCTTTCTTTGGCTCCATTTCCATGGCCCTGCCTAAGGAGTTGTCACATTCCAGGAGAGCCACTCCCTTGAGGCCACCACCTCCATGACAGATGATGGAGCCAGGCTTCGCCTTCCTCCCCAGCCATTGACTCCAGGCTGAAAGCAGTGGAGCCAGAGCCTCAGGACTTGGCTCAGGACAAGTCAGGGGCACTGCTCGGCTGACTGTGACAACACTGATAAGCTCGGGATGAGGTCGGGGCTCCAGGAAGAGGGTAGGAAGTGAGAGAAGAATCCAAAAAAGAGTAGCAAGAAAGCAATGGCAAAAACATCCACCAAGGAAAGCCTTAGGATACCATGTGTGAGTGATGAGCTGGTCTCCCAGCTATGACAAAACCAGACCCCATGGGATTTCTCCCTGCCCCACCTATGTTGCCACATCCTCACCAAAAGCCCTGGACCCTGACCTCAGCTCCACAAAGCTCCCACATACTCACATTCTCAGGAGTTTCTTTGTTTGCTTTCTGTCTCCGGAGATCTGCCTTAATGAATGCTAAGGTTGATAGAGTGAGAAGGAAGAAAGACAAAAACACAGTTATAACGTTCATCCAAGAGAAGAAACCTTCACTTCCTAAGGGTCACAGGTATCCCAAACTTACTGCAGATATTCAAGAGAGCTGATGACTAAGGGCACCATCAGCCCACTTGATAAAGCCCGAGGATCACTGCCGTCCCTGACAGGCAGAAGCCAATAATGGCCTTCACTTGTGGATCACTTATATTTGCCAGGGACTTTGCACGCATTGCTCTAATTATCCTCATTTTACTGATTAAAAACTGAGGTTCCCAGAGGTTGGTCCACTTGCCTAGGGTCAACAGCTATGGAAGTCAGTTTCACAGTCTGGGATTCCAACATGGTCCTCTGGCTCCAAAACCCATGCTCATTCTACCAAGACAATGTGCTGCCTCCTGAACAGATTCCCCAACAAACCCTTCCCTCTGTCCCCCTACATAGGTACTCCCCATCTGTCACTTCATTGAGACACTGGGGTCCCAAATTGGCAACCTGAGCCTCATCTCACTCTCAGGCTCCAACTCACCAGTGAGGGCTGATCCAAGAGCTAGGAACAGACACAGGAAGATGTTCCCAGGTTTGGTTCCATAGTTGTCAATAATCTGGCCCTGGGAGATGGTGAAAATGATCCCAAATACCTGGAAAGGCATCCCATTCAACTAAGCCATGAGGAGAACTGAGCTGCAATGATACAATGTCAGCCCAGCCAGGAAACAGAGGAAATACGAGCTCTACCTGTGCAGATATGTTGAGGAGGCCAGAGGAGATGCCTTCTGATTCTGGGTACGTGAGCTCCACGGCAAACTCAAATCCCAGCGGGAGATAGCCAGTCATAAAGAAGCTGAAGTCCAGACAAGAGAAACAAGGGGATGAAGAATTTCCAGAACAAGAGGGATGGGGAGCCCACCTCCTCCCTTAGAACTCCCTTTCCTGTTTTGTTTCTTCTCGCCAAGACATACTAGGTCTTCTAATGATCTGGGCATCCTCTAAGTGGTCATACCAATGAGAGGGGCACCCCTGAAGGCCAGGAAGAAGTTCACAGGGAGACCTTGTACTTAGCAGGCCTCTGGTTTCCCTTGCTGCTTCTCCATATCGCCATCAGTGACAGCCAGAGTGAGCATTTACAGAAGGGGCAGGGATGCCTGGTGTGTTCAACCTGCAGCTGAGAGACTATGTCCTGGGTACACATACTCTGTACTGGTAGTGGGAAGTTCCTGGATACTGAGCAGCATCTCCATGGCTCCCTGGGACCTGGAAGGAGGAACTTAGAGTCCTCCTTATTTCCATCCAGAGAGGAGCCAGCTGAGGACCGAGTGCCAGCATGCGCTCTCTCCCTCTTTCTCTCTTTCGTATGCACATGCACATGCAGACACACACACACACACACACACACACACACACACACACACTCATATATTACCCTTAGGAAAATAACTGGGAGGTGGAGCTGAACAGAGACTCCTGTGAAAGAGGTATTGTTTCCTCATACAACAGGTCTAGACAATTCCAACTTTAATTTCTTACATTTGCACCACACTTCTTGATGCTTTCATGTCATCTTTCTCAATCTTTCCAACAACTCGACAAGGCAGCCACTCCTATCTTCCTTTACAGATGAGGATATTGAGGCTCGGAATGGTTAAGTGCTGTGCCCATGGTCTAACAGGTAGGCAGCAGCAAAACTGAGAGCAGGACCCGGAGTCTCTGGTTCCAAGCCCTGTGTACTTTCCATAATCCCATGTTGTCCAGGCAGAAACTGAAAAAGACTCTAAACAGGTTCTAGCCTCCGAGTGGTCATGAAGGGTATGCTTCATGCTTCGCTCCATCCCAAAAGAACAGAGAGCCCAGGCTGCCTTTGGAAATGCTACAAGTAGTCCCAAGACCCCTGGGCACCATGTCCGTTATCTCCTGAGGTCAGTGAGAAGTCAGTAAAGGTATCAATATTGCATCCTAGGATGCTGGAAGCTCTAAGAACCATGCAAATGGTGTTTTCTAATAAATAGGCCAGAGGTGAAACTTACCCCATTGTGCCAGCAGTGATGAACACTACCCACAGGTATCCCAGGTTCAAGGTAAACGTGTATACCAACATGCCCACTAGAGTCATGATATAGACTACCAGGGTTGTCTCCCTACAAGTAGAGGCAAAAAAATGGAATCAAACATTTCTGACTTGAGTAGCCTCATTCATTCATTTGTTCCACAAGTATCTATTAAGTATCTGCTGCATGTCGAGCCCTCTGCTATGTTCTTGGAGTTTTGTTTGTTTTGTTTTCAGAGACAGTGTCTTGCTCTGTTGCCCAGGCTAAAGTGCAGTGGCATGATCACAGCTCACTGCAACCTTCACCTCGCAGGTTCAAGCAATTCTTGTGCCTCAGCCTGCTGAGTAGCTGGGACAGTCATGCGCATCACACCAGCTAATTTTTGTATTTTTCATAGAGATGGGGTTTTGCCATGTTGGCCAGGCTGGTCTTGAACTCCTGACCTCAAGTGCTCCACCTGCCTTGGCCTGCTAAAGTGCTGGGATTACAGGCCTTACAAGGCCAAGGCCTGGTCTTGTTCCTTGGACATTTTCTTTCATAGAACTTTCTCTCCATGAGGATGATGGACACTGATGGACAATGATCACACAAAAAATTATTTAATTACATCATGATCAATGCTACAAAGGGTAAGACTAATAAAATAGGAAGCCCTCCTATGATATCTTTGTTCTTTTTCTGTAGAACCCACTCAACCATATCAAGCTGCCCCTTGTCAGGTCCTGGCCACAGACGAGAAGGGCAAAGCCCTTTCTCCTTCTCCCATCCCTTACCAGAGAAAAGAAAAACAGGACAAACATCAGCCATGGTGAAGTCCTGGCATTCGGGACTACCCCAGTAGCCAACCAATTCTGCTTGTCTGCTTTATCCCAAGACCCATGACAGTGCTGGGCAGGACTCTCTGTCACCTACAAGTTCTTCCTGTCCCTACTTGAACAGACCCAACAAAGCTTTTTCTGTTGAGTCTGAATTACTCCACTCCAGAGAGCAGGAAATAGGAGAGCATATTCTCTTGCCCTGAACTGAGTACTTGACTTCCAAAGCCAATGTGATAAACCATCCCTAGCTTCGCCCACTCCCTGTTACATTTCCCTGTCTTGGTCCCCTCAGGAGTCCCATCAGCAAGTCCTGGTTTCTCTTTCAGGCTCACCCTTCTGTGCCCCTCCAGCAGTTCTCTTCCCATGTCGCCCACCTGGGACTCTGCTGCAGTCCTGACTCGTGCAATTGGACCTGCATTCTTCTCCCTGCACTGCACAGCCCTCTGCCTCCCTACCATGAACATCAGGACTCAGATGATGAAAGCTTTAAAGCCTTTCTTTTCTTTTTTTCTTTTTTTGAGACAGAGTCTCACTCTGTTGCCCAGGCTGGAGTGCAGGGGCATAATCTTGGCTCACTGCAACCTCCACCTCCCATGTTCAAGCAATTCTCCTGCCTCAGCCTCCCCAGTAGTTGGGACTAGAGGCACATGTTGCCCAAGCTGATTGCCAACTCCTGAGCTCAGGCAATCCACCTGCCTTGGCCCTCCAAAGTGCTGGGATTACAGGCATGAGCCACTGCACCCGACCTTTAAAACCTTTCTTTATACATCACACCTGAAGCCAGAACCATGGTGGAGGCACCAACTGGCACCCTATGGTTGTGTCAAACTAAACCCTACATCCCTTGAGTACCACATTCTGTGAAGCACTTCGTATGCATTTATTATTTCAATTCAACCTTTATAAAAATCCTGTGAGAAATATATGACGATCTCTCATTTTACCAGTGAAGAAACTGAAGCTCAGGCCACTCAAGTTACTTGTCCAAAGTCACCAGCTGAATAAATGCAGAGCTGGGATGTGAACTCAGAGTGGGATTTGAAATCTCTGCCCCTTCTGCTATCGCATTCAGGGATGATGATGCAACACGTGGTTGCATCTTTGGAAAAGCTCAAAGTCAGAGTCTCCAAAGGATGCTACTTCCACCTGATGCTTCAAAACAGCTGCTAAGGGTAGAGGAGCTTCCTCCTCCTTTCATGTTCCTCCCTCACACTCTTCCCACAGACTCTGCAGAAAGTGATGTCATGGACACCAGTCTTATTGATTATCCCATAAGTTCACCAGGATGAAGCTTTAATCATAGCTTCATCCTAAACCACTGACCAGTTTAGAAAAACTATTTGTAGTCCCAGCCTGAGATAAACCTCATCACCCAGTTTCCAGCCTCCAAACCAAACTAGACAAATCTGGAGCCTTAAGGTGATGAGGACCGGCACTGAAATGATGGGATCACAGAGCTCTTGTTCCACTGGGAGTTGCCCTTCTCTACCTGGGTAGCGTACAGGGAGAAGAATATCTCATGCTGACCACTAGATTTAGACATCATGTGACGCTAGGAACTGGTGACATCTAGGTTCTGAAGAGGGCTGAGAAAGTGTCCTTCCCAGTCCTCTCATATTTTCTAATTCATCTGAATCATCCAACTGCCCATGTCCCAGCCCAGCCAACATTCCAATCCCTCCCTCCTCCTGCCGCAGAGCAAACCCTGGGAAAATGGACACTGCTATTCAGTGGTTTGGGAATGGCCAGTCCTCACCACTCTTGTGTCTGGCTGAAGCAAGCAACTAACAGATGGCAGCGTGAGGTGGCAGCCAAGCTCCGCCAGCAGTAATTAAGCAGAGCCAGGCCCCTTGTTGCCACCTCCCTAGGGATGGTCTCAATTGGCCTTTCTTCAGGCAGCCAGAGTGAGATCTGGTCTGACCAGAGCCTCACAGAAGTGGGTTTGTGTGGTGGAGAACAGGGTCTGCCACTGTCTGTTGCCTGCAGACACTGGGAACTTTGAAGGCCTTGACCGAGCAGCCCGGGACATTGCCTTGCCCCAGTACAGTATAACCTAGCAGCTGCCCCGCCAGCCAGTGCTAAACTGAATACCCAGTGAATGGGGAGCACTGGAAAATCACAAGGGAAGGATGCTGAGGGGCTGTTCCCCAGAGCATTTCCTCCAAGGCCAGCTGCTGAATTGAGGCATCCAGGTTGCTTTATATAAATGCAGATTCTTCTGCCGATTTGGCATCCATGGGGGGACTAGTGGACTGGCGTTCACTAAACTCTTTTAATTTTTCTTCACCTATGTTCACACTGATAAACCTTTTTTTTTTTTCTTGAGCCAGGCTGGAGTACAGTGGCGTGAACTCAGCTCACTGCAACCTCTGCCTCCGGGGTCAAGCGATCCTCCTACCTCAGCCTCCCAAGTAACTGGGACTATAGGTGTGTGCCACTATGCCTATCTAATTTTTGCTTTTTTTTTTTTTTGAGATGGAGTTTCGTTCTTGTTGCCCAGGCTGGAGTGCAATGGCATGATCTTGACTCACCACAACCTCCACCTCCCAGGTTCAAGAAATTTTCTTGCCTCAGCCTCCCAAGTAGCTGGGATTACAGGCATGCGCCACCATGCCCAGCTAATCTTGTATTTTTAGTAGAAACAGGATTTCTCTATGTTGGTCAGGCTGGTCTCCAATTTCCGACCTCAGGTGATCTGCCCGCCTTGGCCTCCCAAAGTGCTTGGGATTATGGGCATGAGCCACTGCACCCAGCCTAATTTTTGTATTTTTTTAGAGATGAGGTTTTACCATGTTGCCCAGGCTGGTGGTCTTGAACTCCTAGACTCAAGCGATCCACCTGCCTTGGCCTCCCAAAGTGCTGGGATTACAGATGTGAGTCAATGTGCCTAGCCTGATAAAACCTTTTAAGATAGCTCCAGGCTCTTAGAAATGCACTGGGCATTCAGGTCCAAAGAACATTATGAAATGTACCAGCGAGGTATAAATAATTGGAAGATAATATACACTGCAAACTGGAGAAAGCATAGAGCACCTTGGTTAACCCCATGGGGTCCACAAGGTGCCATGAGAAAAGGGCAGTGAAATCACCTCCTCCTTATCTCCATTCTTTGAAGTTTCCACAGACTTTCCACTGCTGAAAAGTTTTTCCCATTCATTTTCATTTCTCCCTTCTCTGCCGCTTTCACAAAGCTACGTAGAGAGTGGGGAGGGGAACGAGGACTATGCTAGGCCTTCAAGTCCGGTAGCTCTCATCTTCCTCGGATCCTGTGGGGATCTTAAGAAGGGCATAGCTTCCCTCATTTGAGAAATGAAGAAACTGAGGCTCAGAGAAGACAAACTTGAATGACCTGCTTGGCCACTCAGATCTCCACACAATGTCTTGGAGCCACATTGCTTATGAATATGCCATTTCAAAAAATAGGTCCCCGGTTCTCAGTCCAAGAGGAAAAGTCACTTACTTGTAGGTTTTGGACCTATCCAGCCAGATTCCTGAGAGCACAGCCCCAAGCATTCCTGCAATGACGATGGTCAGGCCAATTCTTCCAGCATTCACTTCTTCCCCCTGGGGAAACCACAGCCCCAACGATCACCCAGAGATGGGACAAGACCCAGGAGAGAGTGCAGTCACCATGGGGTGAAGGAACAAAGGCAAGTAACTCAGGTTCCATCAGAGTCAACATTCGGAATGGATCAGGACAAGATGGCCTGTAAGAAGATGGCTTAGGAAAAAATTCTAGAATAACTACTCCTCCCAGCAACATAACTCAGACTGTGTGTGCATGATATTGGATGCCGGAGTGACAGGGATGAACCAAATTTGTTCTTCGAACTACTTTTAGGCAAATTTTTTAAAAAATGTAAACCTTACAACAACTCTTCTATCTTATCTGTCATGATTTCCATTTCACAGATGGGGAAATTAAAATGTATGTGTTAAAATTCCCATTCTTGGTTTTTTTGAGCTATCAGTGCCAAAAGGAATGGAAAGATAATCATTATATATTGTTTAGTGCTTACTATAAGCTAGGCACCATGCCTAAGGTTTTATATCCTTATCTCATTGCCTCCTCATCATTCCCCATCATAAGGTTAGGAATCAGTCTTCACCATTTTGCAGATGAAGAAACAGGCACAATGAGATTAATTTACAAGCCCAAGGTCACAAGACATATGGTAAGTTCAGAGCTAGGATTTGAACTCACGCCTTTGAACTCCAAAACTAGAACACTTAGCCACATAGCCTACCACTTCTGCAAGTGTAAGAGCCTAGTTCTTTCAAAAGATGGTTGGATCTCTGTATTCCTAACTCCAGGACCCTCAGTTTTCCATTCCCAGCAACCAGCCCAGCCCTCATGGGTTCTGGAAACATTTAAAATCAGAAATATTTTCTATATATATATTTGCCAACTGTGTTGCCAAGCACTGTTGTATAATAAATACGTATCTCATATATAATTATATATACATATACATGTGGCATTATTTACTCTCTGATCCTAAAAAGAATCTTGCAAGAAATAATTATGCTTCTTTTGCAGCAAAAAAAAAAAAGAGAGAGCTCAGAAACACTAACTATCTTGTCACATTATCAAGCCATTACACAGTTTAGTGCCACCATAGCAGCAGAGGTTGAGATCTAGGGCCATCTCCTTCCAAATCCCAGAAGCATACCACCATATCATGCTACCTAGAACTGGGGGGGAATGAAGACTTCACCATCAGCCAAGCTCCTGCCAAGACAGACTTAGAAACGTATCATCTTGAGGCCCAACATGCTTAGGGAAGTCCCTTACCGGGTAGTGCCGGATGACCATGCGATTCAGCAGAGTGGACAAGGCATAAAAAGCACCAGCATTCAGACCTGAAGGAGGGAGTGAGAAATACAACATTAGGGTCAGCTTTCTTCTGGGGCCATTGCTAACTACTCCCCCAGCAGCTGCGGGGAGGGTGCAGGCAGAAATCCTCATCCCCATTGCCACTCTGAGCAGTAGAGAAGAAAAATCCAGGGAGGTCTGAAGCTACTCTGCAGTTTTCTCAAAGAAATACTTCAACACAACCAAATGTAACCATTTAGTCTTTCCTTAGCCATGCCCCGTTGATCTCTGATCCCTTTGATTTGCCATGGAAAATAGACTCCCAGGGCAGAATTATCTACATTCTTCTTAAGCACTGGGTAGATCTATGGGGTGGTCAGTAGGACTCCTGGACACATTCCTCCTCCTCCTGATGACCCTGCTCCTGTTGAGGCTGCTCCAGACCTCTGTCCCCTGATGCCACTCCCTTTGCAGGTAGTTTCTCTCCTCTTTTTCCAGTCCTCCTCCAACTTTCTTTGCTGATTCAATGTCACACAAAATCTGTTACATGAAACTAGAAGAGACCCTAAAGAGCATTCGGTTGACTCTCCTACTTTACACCAATTCATTCACCAAAGGAATGGAGCACCTAGGATATGCTGTGAAGGGCAGCATCCGTAGTGAATAAGGTCATTTGGCCAAAGTCATACAGCAAATCAGTAGCTGAGACTGGAATTGACCCAAAGGAGAAAAGGCCTCCTGGCCTCCCTTCAGTGATGATGACAATGATGACAATGGCAGCTGCACATACCTATGGATTAGATACTTTGTAACAACCCTAGAAAGTAGGTAGTATTATCATCACCATTTTATAGATAGGAAAGATGCACACACAGTTAAAACAACAAATACAGTCAGCCCACAATGCCCAACAGGGGTCTTTCTAACTTTTACTAAACACTGAGGCTCACAAGACAGCACACTCAATATTAGAGTCACTTGGAAGGGTGTAAGTCAGGACATGTAGCTTGTGGGCAGGGCAGCCTCAGGAGTTCCTCTTCAGTGGAACCAATCCATAGAACCCCAGTCCATACAGCCTTCCAGAAGTTACTCTCTTTCAGATGACAGCTAAGGTGCAATGAAAGGTGGGTATGGCAACCACCCTGGATGCCTCACAGGTGCCACTGTTACTTGTAACAATTCTGTAGGCGTACCTTCCAGGGGCCCCATAAGTGACAGGCCAGTGAAAGGAGTCACTGTACTCAGGGAAGCACAAAGAATGGCTTCCCACAAGAATGAATAGGTCTCCCTGTCTATTTTTTATCACCAGAGGGCATTTTTATCATAAGCAATGTTGCCTAAAGGTAGTTGACATACTCCCTTTATATGGTTCCCAGGAGTAAAAGATACAAAGTTAAGCAAAGGTCAAATTCTCCTGCAAAATGGGAAAGAATTGCTTTGCAATCACACAGGTATTGAGTGATGGAAATCGATTTGAACCCAGAACCTGTGGCTCCAGAGTTCTTGATCTTAAACACTCTGCTTTATATCCTCACAAAGCTGATTCTCAAATTAGATTTCTCCATCTCAGGTCATTGAACAATTTCCTCATGTCCCAGCCTCTCCTAGCAGGTCACCCCAGGGATGCAACAAGGTTGGGCTTGATGCAGCTTCCTGAGCAGCACAGAGCACAGGGCCAATAAACCCGGACATATCCCCGAACATCGCTACAGCTGTCAGGCTGATGGCTGCAGTGATCACGAGGCTCTCAGCAACGTCTCATCCAAGCAGCATTCCCATCTAATCCTCATAGCACACACTCAGGCACTTAGAAAGTCCATTTCCGAGTCAAGAGGGCCTATAAGGAGACATTCCTGAAAAGCCAAGTGAGGCAGAGTGTGGGAAGGAGAAGAAAGAAAACAGTCTCCTCCCCTCTTCCCATCTCTCCCACTCCTCTCTAAGCCTCTTGGCTGCCTGACACAGCAAAGGGCAAGGAATGTTCCAACTCAGGCTTAGCTTCAGGTGGAACAGCTGCTCTCCTAACGGATGAGCCAAGGAGGGCAGAATCCACAGAAAAAGGAGGGAAATTATCCAGAAGGACTGGGAGCAAAAACTATACCAGTGCTTTCATGATCCTGTTAAAGGCCTGGGGAACAGAGTCCTGAACAGGTTGACCCATTCTGTGGAAGCTGAGTGGTTTTTCTGGGGCTCAAAGGTTTAGGGAAATAGTTTCCAAAGTGTGGTCTCTGTTCCATCCCAGACCTACCGCAGCAGGAACTCTGGGAGTGAGGCCCCCCGCAATCTGCATTTGAATGAGCCCCCCACCAGGTGATTCTGATCATAAGCAATGTTGGTGGAAGCACTGGCTCCCTAGAGCAATGTGGTTCACCAACAGCCATTTTTGCTCCAGGCCAGACAGGTGACTGAATCGGGGCTAGAGGGGACCAGGAGGGAAGGAAGAGCAGAGGTTCATCCTGGAAGGCTGCTGATCTTCTCCACTGTTTCTGCAGCCCCACCTTAGAGGAATCAGGAGGTTGTGTATGTTTTCTGAATCCATCTTTGGTCTAGATGTCCCTCCCCATATTGTCAAAGGTTGCCAGACATGGTTAACCAGCATAAGTTCACTCTACTGCCCAAACAAAGGAGTTGGGCATCCCACACAGAAGGGCAGGAATGAAATGCATGCTCCTTCCTGTGCGTGAGTACCTCTTACAGGAGTACAGGTGACTGCATTCTATTCAGGTCTGATCATCCTCAGCAAGGTGAGCCTGCTGGGCCAGGGAAGAGAAAATGTGACCTCCCCTGAAAGGCCTGGTCATTCCTGGAATCACTCACCTGGGAGAGGTGCCACTTACTGAGGAGGCAGGCTTTAGAGAGGCAGAAAGGACTCTGTCCACATTCTGAATCTCTTTCTTTCCTTTGTCAAAAACAATTTTTTTTCTTTGTGAAAAATGTTTGGGGGTCTCACTACATTTCCCAGGCTGGTCTTGAATCCCGATCCTCCCGCTTTGGTCACCCAAAGTGCTGGGACTGCAGGTGTGAGCCACCAAGCCCAGCCCCAATAACAATTTTATTCAAATTGCACTCCAGAGACTACTGGCATTAGAATTCCTTAAAGATTAAAAATGCAGATTGTGAGGCCCTACTGTAGACCTACTGAATCAGAATCTCTTGGAATAGGGCCCAGGAATCTGCATCTTTGGCAACAACAACAACAACAACAAAAAAAAAACCTAAACATTTTGAGAATTTGAGACATCTCAAACAATTTGAGAATACATGGCCTTCAAATACAGAAGATCAGGTGGAAGGGTTAACAGGGAGGCAGCTGGGATGGAAAGAGGCTTCAAGACCCACTACACAGCTACCCCAGAGGATCTCAACTCTGCTGCAAGTCAGAATTATCTGGAATACTGGTAAAAAGCTGATTCCCAGGCCCCAACCCAGACTTTCTGAATTTGAATTTCCAGAAATCTATGCACACATTCAGTCAAGCACCCAGGGGATCCTATCATCAGGGAAGTTTGGGAAACACTGACCCCAGATCACATCTTTGGGGTTTGCTTACTCTGTGTTTTCCTTTAGTCCTTGTTTTAAAGAGCTAGCTTGACCTTGGCAAAGCTCCTGGGAATCCAGAGAAGGATTTTATGCCCACTCTTCAGCCAGGATTTTAGAGGGGGCATGAAGCCCCCTCCCTAGGCCTATGTAGGTAGAACAATGATAAAGCACTGAGAGCCCCAAGGGAAGGTGAACCTTGGGATATACAAGTTGGGGCTCTAAGTTCAGATGCCAGGGGCACTGGAAAATTATTCAGAAGCCTTCTGAAAATTATTCAGAATAATCTTGCCTTCAGCAAGGCTGGGGGATAACTACAGAAAAAGTATGCACTTTGAGTATGGCATTTTCTAGAAGAGAAGACTTTTCAACAGGGCAGTTGTTATGCCATTGATAATAAGACATTAGAGGAGGCCATGTGAACGCAAGACCCAGAGCCACAAACAGAATGTAGCCAAAGAAGGTTCCTTTCTCCCTCTCACCCCACTCTGTTGTGAAACACACCAAAGACACTTGCAGACAAGTGGAATTTCTGGTTCCTTGAGTCTTCCCATATCGCCAAAGTTGAAAGAGAGAGGGAGGGTGTTTTACTGGCAGTTTCTTACCAATGTGAGATTTCAGCAACATCAAGCATAAGCCCAGCCCCTGCATCTCTTTCCTTTTAAACTGAATTGCCAGATTTTGTGGGGGGGGGGGGGGAAGCAAATAAATAAATTTAAAACAATAATACTTTAGTATAAATATGCCACAAATATTGCATAAGACATATTTATATTAAAAGTATTTGTTGCTTATCTGAAATTCAAATTAACTGGATGGCCTTTATTTTATCTCTCAACCCTACCTCTAAGGGTGTAGCCAGAAGTCTAGGGAAAAGCCAGCAACACTTGGACCCTTGATTTCCTCCAAGGCCTTCAATTATCACTGTACTTCAGCTCTGGGCAGTGGACTCATCAGCTTGGAGAATCACTTGGAAAGCCACGACAAATACAATACAGGATGGCTATTCCTACTCTTAGTGGAATCTGGTTTGGACCAAAGAAGCAACACTGGAAATCAGTAAGTTTCCTGATGCAATAGCAATCTGGAGGCATGCCATGTCTTTATTCTCAACTGCATTAAAAGCTTTCATTTCCATTCAGAACACTGCAATGGGAAGTGCCATTACTGTTTTCTGGTAGGGGTGGAGAGTATTGAAGAGATGAAAGGTGGGTAGCACAGATGGGTGAAGGCGGTACACTCAGTAACGGGCAGAGCTGACACCAAAACTCAGACCTCCCATTTCTTATGAGCCAGCTTTGAACTTTTGAGTCCAGCACTCAAGGCTCTTAGCCCAAGACATATCCACCCATATCCAATACATGTTCCTGTGAAATGCTATTGTCTGTTTAATTCCTAGCTACATACTCTTTAAATGCATGTAATTCAGAGCTAAATATGAACACATAAAACGTATGAACCAATTTGTCTTCAAAGCCCAATCTGAAACTGCAAGGGGATTGGGAGGACTGGGATGATTCTGAAGGATTTTGAAGCATCAAGTTGAATTTATACAGGGTATTTTTTAAAACTTTTTTTGATGGAAGGCCAAGGTGGACGGATCATCTGAGGTCAGGAGTTCGAGACCAGCCTGGCCAACATGGTAAAACCCCATCTCTACTAAAAATACAAAAATTAGCTGGGCATGGTGGCGGGTGCCTGTAATCCCAGCTACTTGGGAGGCTGAGGCAGGAGAATGCTTGAACGTAGGACACGGAGGTTGCAATGAGCCAAGATCATGCCACTGCACTCCAACCTAGGCGACAGAGTGAGATTTTGTCAAAAAAAAAAAAATTGTTTTTATTTGTTTTAATTTGGAAAAAACACAGTAGAAGAAAGCAAAGATTAACAGTTGGAGTAAGTGCCTATTGTTTTTGCCCTATGGGCAGGAAATTAAATCTCCAGAGCCTCAGTTTTCTCATACATAAAATGAAGTAAAGGGCTTATGTCATGCGTTTGTTTTGAAAATTAAATGAAATAATGCATGTAAAGCAATTAACATGATTCCTCAATCAAAAATTTTTTCCAATATGTGATTAAGTCTAAGAATCATTTCCTTGTTGGCAAAGAGCCCCATATGGACATCACATTCTCCAGAGTTTCCTTTCAGCATTTTCAGCCAGCCTCTTATTCACCCCAACTGTTATCACCACTGCAGGCACCTACAATGTTAAGCAGTGCCATTGATTGTTTTCAACAAATGCCCTGGCAATAGAGCTCTTCCCACTGAACAAACTCCATGTCAGATCAATAACATGTCCCATGAATAGGGCTTTTCTGGGGACCTGCCAGGGAGGTCAATTAGTAATTCTCAGGGGTGGAGCTCCAAATTGACTTTGCTCCCTCCAATGGCTGCAAGGCAGTTGGCTCTCACAGCCCCACGGCTGTGAGGCTGATGATGTCACAGCCCCACGGCTGCGAGGCTGCTGGCTGTCACAGCCCCATGGCTGAGAGGCTGTAGTAGTCAAGGCTACTGCAGAGCCTGGGAGAAGGAGATTGGAATAGGGTAAGTTAAACCCCATAATTCTTACTGATATTTAGCCATTTATCTTGAATAAATGTTGTTTGGATTGTTGCAAGCCATCTATTAAACGTTCTGAAAAAATTCATTTTGCCATTTTTTGCCATTTTTCTTGTTTTTATAGAGGAGCAGATTTTCTAAGGTCCTTACTCCACCATTCAAGAAGTGCTTTCTTATCTATTTCCTGGGTTATCATGTAATCAGATAGATAAGAAAAAGAGTCCAGAAGTACAAGATGAAAACTACACTGTCAGATTGAAGACTATGTAAGCAAGCAGCCACGCAAGAGGAAGGAGGAGGAGTAGCTTTGCTCTCCACGGCATGGCGCAGGCTTGAGCCCTTCGATGACCAGGAGCAACAACGTTCCTGGTACATTTTGTTTCTGTTTCTTATTCTCATGGGTCAGTGACCTGGCTCTAATATCAACAACCTCCATCACTGAGGACCACAGCCTTTGGAATGAGACCACTGCCCACTTATCACATGGTCACTATTTTCATCCATAGAAAATATTTATGAAGCACTCATCTGCCCTAGAATCCCAAGGTAGGCCTCAAATATCCTCTGTTAGTTGCAACAAGGTTTATGGTGGTCAGAGGTCTACGCATTCACGATATCTAACCCTAGCAAAAGCAAAAGCTCTTAGAGTTATGGAATCTTGAGTCTAGAAGGGACCCCAAAAGTCATCTGGTTTCACTATCCATCTTTAGTCTGAGATTCCCTAAAACATTCCCACCGAGTGGTTAGTCCCATCTATACTTGAATACCTCTCAGTGATGGGGAACTTGTAACTTCCTTAGATGGACATCTCTAAGCTTTGGAAACTTCCTCTTTATTTTGTGGATGAATGGGGAAACATACTCAGAGAACTGAGAAACCGGAGGAAATGAGGAATGGAGGACCAAGACCTTAAAGATGAATCAGGTTATCTACAGCTATTCCAGATGAAAGGTCACGTATGCCTGAAAAATGAGATTGCCCCTCTAACAGGATGAAGCCACCTCTTATCTAGTGTCTGAGCAGATAAACATTTTAATTGGGATAAAATGTGCTGATGAGTCTAAAATTAAACCCTGGCACAATCCTAGGAAGGAACATCAACAATTCCAGAATTGGCATTAAGAATGCAGACTTTGGGCCAGGTGTGGTGGCTCATGCTTGTAATCTCAGCACTTTGGAAGGCCGAGGCGGGCAGATCACGAGGTCAGCAGTTCAAGAACAGCCTGGCCAACATGGTGAAACCCCGTCTCTACTAAAAATACAGAAGTTAGCTGGGCATCGTGGCAGGTGCCACTAATCCCAGCTATTAGGGAGGCTGAGGCAGGAGAATCACTTGAACCTGGTAGGCGGAGGTTGCAGTGAGCCGAGATCATGCCACTGTACTCCAGCCTGAGCGACAGAGTGAGACTCTGTCTTGGGGTGGGGGGGAAAGCGGACTTTGGAGTTACACAAACTTATATTGGAACTCTGGCTCTGCCACTTGAAAGGTGTGTGGCCTTGGGCTAGTTATCTAACCTCTTTCAGTTTAGTTTTCTCATCTGTTAAACAGGGATGATTTTAGTACCAACATCACATGGGTGTACGGGAAGTTAAATAAAATCAGACATGAAAAGTACCTGGCACATAGAAAACGCGATTACTGTTATAAAACAATACTTCTCAGTGTATAGGCAACATGAAGCCAAGGCCACCTGGGGTTTCACTAAGAATAAGTCATGTCAAACCAATCTCATTTTTTTGTTTCATATGGTTACTATACATGTCACACAGTTGCTAACTCTTGGTTTTAATCAAACTTTAACAGGTGAATTAAATGACCAAATGTAGGCGGAATAGCAATAAAGGTGGGTAGATATGTAGCAACTTGGACTAAGGGTACTAACTAATGGTTGGCATTCATCTGAAGGACACTTTTTTTTTTGGAGGACACTCTTTAAGGGAATGCCATGAGGCTCTGTCTTTGCCCTACTCCCATCCAACATCTTATTACAGGCTTGAAAAAAAGATAAAGAGAGCGCCATGCTGGGAAAGGAGGCCACCACATTAGCATAAAGATTCCAACCTATCTTGCTAAGAGCCAAGCAAATGAAATGAAAGAGAGATGTTGTGCATTCAGATAAAACAGAAGTCAATTACAGGATGAGGGAGGACAGGTTGAAGAGTGACTCATGTGGCAAGACACATATATGCATGCATTCATTCATTAATGAATTCAGTAACTATGGGAATAGTCATCCGAGGCCGGCCACTGCTGAGGAGCTAGAAGGATGAAAAACATAAATCCACAACCTTAGAGAGTTCAGTCTAATATGGAAATAGACGTGCAATTTTTTTTTTTTAATGATAGGTGTTAAGATGTACAAGGAATAGGCCGGGCACAGTGGTTCACGCCTGTAATCCCAGTACTTTGGGAGGCTGAGGTGGGTAGATCACAAGGTCAGGAGATCGATACCATCCTGGCCAACATGGTGAAACCCCATCTCCACTTGTAAAAATACAAAAATTAGCTGGGTGTGGTGGCGCACACCTGTAGTCCAAGCTACTCAGGAGGCTGAGGCAGGAGAATCACTTAAACCTGGGAGGTGGAGGTTGTGTTGAGCCAAGATTGTGCCACTGCACTCCAGTGTGGTGACAGAGTGAGACTCTGTCTCAAAAAAAAGAGAGAAAAGAAAAGAAAAAGATGTACAAGGAATAGAATGGTAAGAGAGGGAAAGTCACCTACTACTGCTCTACAAAAGTGATATGGAGATGAGACTTGGAGGACCAACAGGCATTGGTCAGATGACCTAACATGGGAAGAAATTATTTTCTAGGTGAACTTTACAACACATGCAGAAGCCCTTGGGCATAGCTGGGTCCTCTGGATTGACCCTAAACAACAAATTCACATGCACAGTTGGGATCTGGAAAGAGTAAGACATGAAGATACTTCAGGCCTCTCATCTAACATTTCCAGTTCAAATGCCTTCCTAGGCACATCGGCACCTTACCGTAGGTGATGACGAGCAGCACAAAGTTGAGGTTTTTGAAGAGCCGGACGATGGAACTTAAGTACGAGGCATCAGGAGAGGCCAAGGCATAGCTCAGGGATTGGGCCCTGCTGGGGGGATATTTAGGCTTCTCCTTGAACACTGAAAGTAAAGAAACAGAGATGACTGAAAATTCCCATGGTCCCACTCCAACAGAGCTGGTTTCACAGGGGCGAAAGCTGCTCCATCATCTGAGAGGAGCTAAGGCTCCCAAAGGAAATATTAATTCTTAAATGAAACCCTTTCCAGCCCCTCTCTTGAAGCTGCTCCACATTGTCTGAGGCTGAGTGATTGGTCCTTTGATACATTTTTCCTTTTCTTTTTCTTTTTTTTTTTTTTTGAGATGAAGTCTCACTCTGTCACCCAGGCTGGAGTGCAGTAGCATGATCTTGGCTCACTGCAGCCTCTGCCTCCTGGGTTCAAGTGATTCTCGTGCCTCAGCCTCCTAAGTAGCTGGGACCATAGGCATACACCACCATGCCTGGCTAATTTTTTTTTTTTTTTTGAGTTTCTCTTTTGTTACCCAGGCTGGAGGGCAATGGTGCGATCTCGGCTCACAGCAATCTCCACCTCCTGGGTTCAGGCAATTCTCCTGCCTCAGCCTCCTGAGTAGCTGGGTTTACAGGCACGTGCCACCGTGCCCAGCTCATTTTTTGTATTTTTAGTAGAGACGGGGTTTCGCTCTGTTGGCCAGGTTGGTCTCGAACTCCTGACCTCAAGTGATCTGTCCGCCTCGGCCTCCCAAAGTGCTGGGATTACAGGCGTAAGCCACCACCCCCAGCCCCAATTACTTTTCCTAATGACCGCTGGAAGGCTGAAATCACTGGACGTCCCAGGCAGTGTTCAAAGATCAAGGAATCTCATAGTAACCAGCAAATAACATACCACAGAGAACTCAAGAAACACGCCAGCAACACATGATGGAAAAGCAGCAAAAGCTAAAGCACTAGGATTGGTGAGCCCAGTTAGTGGCTTAGCACCACAGCTCCTCCCAAGGGGAAAGGGACTATGCTGCCCGAGCTTAGCACAGAGCATGGCATGCAGCAGCTGATAAATATTCCCTGAATAAGTGAAAGGGGTCTTATTCTGCAGAAAAAAAATTTAGGGTCCATTCCTAGTTTCTCAAAGGCTGAATCAGACCTCTGCCGCATGACAGAAACAAGAAGATTGACACATGCTTCTCCAGGAGCAGACACTCTGATATGAAGGGCTGGAGCATCACAACAAGAAAGCCAATCCCTTTGTATAATATTTTCAGTACAACTGGCATGATCATTTCGATTGTACGGATTGCCAGTCCATTTTCTAGGGGGCAGATTAGTTTAACTAGTTGTTTGGTTAAAGTGATTCCCCTATTAAATCTCAATTAAGTACCCAGGAGTGGTGGCTCACGCCTGTAATCCAGAACTTTGGGAGCTCAAGGCAGGCAGATTACTTGAGGTTGGGAGTCCAAGACTTACCTGGCCAACATGATAAAATACTGTGTCTACTAAAAATACAAAAATTAGCCAGGTGCAGTGGCACGCACCTGTAGTCCTAGCTACTTCGGAGGCTCAGGCAGGAGAATTGCTTGAACCCAGGAGGTGAAGGTTGCAGTGAGCTGAGATCATGCTACTATCCTCCAGTTCAGGCAACAGAGTGAAACTCTGTCTCAAAAAAAGAAAGAAAGAAAGAAAGAAAGAAAATATTCCAAATAAGTACTTTTTGGTTTCCTCTACACCCCAAGAGAATGCCCCTGAAAGGTGAGTAGACTGTCACCACTTAGAGGAAGCCCTGGAAATGAAGTTTACTCTCCTGGCAGATCAAAGGGGCCCTCCACCAAGAAAATGCCGTTGCCCAGACTTCAGAGTCCTGCTTCCTCCTTCTTTAGAAATAGTCCTGGATATCAGAGTTGGGAGCTTCTCATCCATTGTCTTGCGTCTTCACCTTCCCTTAGTCAGGGGAAAGAATTCAAGGCAAAATGTTTGCTCATCTCCACATCAGCAGATGTTGGCTTAAGGATTTGGCAACCACAAACCAGAATTCAGATATGATTTTTCAGGTCTTTACTCAATTAGCAACTATCTATCTGTGCTTGATAATAAAATGCCCAAATAGAAATGTCCAAACTCCAGATTTTTCAACTGCAAAGGACCAGGTCCTCATCTGCTTGAGAATTTGGAGCTGGACATATAATTTGAAACTCAAAGTCTGGCTAAGAGGCCCCTGGCTGTGTCATTATTCCCCGCTCTCATCCAGAGCTCCCCTGCTTCTCACCTTACCAGAAACACCAAGGTCTCTGTCTAAGACATTCTGCCAGATTTTAAACCCATTAGGTAGCCTTTCTCATCCTGGATTCTTTGAGGGAAACAATGCAATGAGAACGGTTGAATGAGGTACCCAATTATAGAACGGCTTAACTCTGGAGGTGGGGCTAGCAGGCAGGAATGAAACCTTTAACATATGAGTTGGAACTTTCAGGTATTAGGAAGAATGCTGGTTAACCTTTACACAGGTCACTAGCTGAAAATAAATTTATCAAAGCTCATATAATATCACTCAACTGAAAAAAGAGGATATAAAAATTCTCTTACCAAGTACCTCAGTCATTATATGCACATGGATATAAAATATTAACAGTACGAGCTAGGTGTGGCGGCTTACACCTGTAATCTCAGCACTTTGGGAGGCCAAGGTGGGTGGATCACTTGAGGTCAGGAATTCGAGACTGGCCTGGCCAACATGGTGAAACCCTGTCTCTATGAAACATGCAAAAACTAGCCGGGCATGGTGACAGGTACCTGTATTCTCAGCTACTCAAGAGACTGAGGCAAGAAAAACACTTGAACCCAGCAGGCAGAGGTTGCAGTGAGCCAGGATTGTGCCACTGCACTCCAGCCTGGGTGACAGAGCAAGACTCTATCTCCAAAAATAAAAAATGAAAAACAAAATATTAACAGTAATTATCTGGTACAGTTCACGGTTGGGATTAACCTGTACAATGACAAGTTAATGGTCATTCCTTTCTCTATGCTTTTTTGTATTTTCTAGATTTTTCTATAATGAGCATATATTAGTCTTATAATTTTTTATTTTTTAAAAGAGACAGGATTTCACTATCTTGGCCAGGCTGGTCTTGAACTCCTGACCTCATGATCCACCTGCCTTGGCCTCCCAAAGTGCTGGGATTACAGGCATGAGACACTGCACCTGGCTTACTCTTATAATGTTTTTAAAAAGCATTAAAGATGCACTGGTACATGGGCAAGAGAAAAATAAAAAAAAGAACATAAAAATAAAAATAATTCTTAAAAAGCATTGAAGAACTATGATACCTAAGTATTGTCAGGTTAATCTATGAGATTATTAATTTTATGGATCAATTTCAGTTTTGTTTTTCAGAAATTTGGAATAGGGAGATAGATAAGCTTAGACGTCACTCCAATCTCTGCCACTGATTAGTTATCTAATTTTGAATAGTTTATATAACCTCCCTTAAGTGTCATTTTTCTCTTTGTTAAATAAGACCGATAGTGGTACCTCACTGATAGGGCTGCTGAAGACTAAATGAAATCAGGCATACTTAGCACAGTGCCTGTGATGGCCTAAGTGCTCAGTGGCTTTCATCAAGGGGACAAGCAGTCTACCCATCATTTCCAATGAGGTAGGACTGGAGAACACGTTAATGACAAAGCTTTCCTTAGCTACTAACTAAGTGCACAGGACCAGCTAGCACTGTGTGAGAACAATTGCCCAGGCTAAAACATTTGAAGATCATAAGAAGCCAAGATACCAGTTTCTGTAAATATCCATGGTATTTCAGGGCATGTTCACAAGGGTCCCACCAAAGTCAGCAGAATCTTCCTGCCCCCTTGGCCCCCTGCTGTCCCGTCAGTCTACTAATGACCTTACCAATGATGACAAGGATGAGGAGGAGAGTGGCCACACCTCCTATTATATAGAACATGATGCTGATGTGGTAGGCAAGCTTGTCCTGGTCTTCGATGTTGGGTACCAAAACAGGAGGGACCAAGAACCCAATCGCAATTCCAAGCTATAGAAGACAGAGACAACCAATCACAGTTACCAATGGCCAAGGGAGGTGACAGCACAAATGTAGAGAGACTCTTAATAAGAAATCTAATTCCCAACTTCCAATCCTTCCTCACACCCAAACAGGGATTACTTCCCAACTCAAAACACCAGAGAAATCTTTCTTCTGACTGATGATTGGGCTCATACATCCTTCTGACCACCCTCATTGTCCATGCCTATTGAAAGTATAGTTGATGATCTCAATGTGGGCTGGCTCTTCTCTAACTGCACATTAATGAATGATGGTGCCTCTACTCCCATATCTGGAATAGAGTAAAATAACATTGGTTATTTTTTTCTTGTGCTACTCGAATTTTTAGTTTCACTGAATCTGTTAACCCAGAGCTGAGAGCCCAGCTGGGGAGAAAGTCTATACCCTGCAAGCCCAAGAACTTGCACTCAGTAAGAGTTGAAAGTCTAAAGCTGTTATCACATTTACAAGCATGAAAGCTTCACTTTATTGTGTGAATAACATAGTAACTTCTAAAGCATCTGTAGTGTGAAGTCACACATAACTGCATAAATGTATACGCACAGAAGATAGGTACCTAAAAAATGGCTATAAACACACACACACACACACACACACACACACACACACACACACACACCCAACAAATTAAACTGTTTTTTATCTGGATTGGAGTCCAAATTCCAGACCTAACAGACCTGGGTGTTTCCGAGGTCAGAAAGGCTTGGCTTTAGTACTGACTGGCTGTGATACAATTCCCAAAAGCCCTTCTGCTGCGCATAATATTGAAGCAGAAATGGGAAAATAGCTTGTGAACTCAGGCAAACGTCAAATTTCAAGAGTGAAGGAAGATAAGTAATTCTTTTGTCGTAAGGTCTCATTTTTCCTTTATTGTACTTGAAAGAAGCAATTCGCTTTCACTCCTCATTTTCACACTATTCATCAGCTTTCAATCTGCTGACTGCCTCGACTGGTTTTTCAGTCTGTCAATTACAGCCATTCAAGGTGGTTACTAGCGGTTCTCAGTTCTGGAATATTCACAAAAGTGATCACTCATTGTTTCTGTGTAGAGCTCTTTAGACCAATATGTAATCAATCAACCACATGCATCTTTAAAATGTACTCTGCTAGATATCTTAGGAGGTACCAAGAGGTATAAAGCAGGTTTCCTGCCTTCAAGAAGCTTAATAATCTATTAGCAGGAAAAATATTAAGACAAAAATATAACATAACACAACTGGCCATATTTGTGGGTTGCAATGATAGAATATTACAGTTTGAAAGTTCTTCTGTAATCCTGTATTATAATTACAAACCCAATCATTACAGGAGAAAACAAAGGGTAAGTGAGGTTAATTGAGTTCTGTGACTTGTTGAGGGTCACCCAGAGTTCTAGCAGAGTGGAGGTGAGAAAGCAGATCTCCTGTCTTCTCTGGGTAGTGCCTCCCAAGCTAAGAGCCTTGAGAAAGGCCCAGGTAGGCAGGTTTCTGCAGAAGAGAGGCCTCTTTTGGGTCCTTGGAGCATTATCTGATCCTTGGTCATACTAGTTTGTCAGGGTCAGGTTTACCTGCTGATCTCCAAGACTTCCATTGAAGGTAAAAACTAGCGATAAGCAGGGGCAAATACAACCTTCTTCATAGCTGGGAAGCTGGTCCCACTCCAACTCATATATAGCCTTCTAAGCGCTTGGAGTTGGAGGTCTGGAAGTTAAGTAGAATCTCCCAGGGTCCCATTTGCAAGAATGAGGAAAGATACAGACATCATCTGAGGCTCTGCGACTCTTTCATTTCCAAAGGAAAACGAAAGCTCTGAGGTCTCAAAACAGGACACCCTAAGCCCCAGTAATCTTCTGCCCCGATAAAGAAATCCTCCCAGCTGGTGGCACACTGTACACCCTACTCTCCTGGGGTGGCTGGACTCTGTTCATTCCATCTATACACTAAGCTTGAGTGAGTGCTGATCAACCCCAACTCCAGCCAGCAGAGTGAATGGGCGAGCCCTAATAGTGCAGTATTGCCTGCAGTAACCCCAGCTGGGCAGCAATGCTGTCTCACGGTAACCTTTCTCAAGGAAGAAATTGGCTATGGAGGTACTTTGATGCCCAGTGTGAAAAACCAAAACATAAGGATTAGACTGTAAGCTGCTTCCTCGTTTGTTTTTTCAAGACATATTTTTTCCTCCTTCTTGAGAGGAGTGTTTAGGGAGAGTCTATTTCTAGTTCCTAGTTCATAGGTCTGTCTCACAGTCATGGATGGATGGATGTACGGACAGATGACCATTAGTAGAAAATTCTGGCTACACAAAGCTAAGAATTACATATCTCCCTGTTAAGGTCCAGGTTCTTTGTACATTGTACTCACAGTGGTAAGAAAAAAAAATGTGTATGGGAAAGTAAGGAGACGGTAGGATACCCTACAGTTTCTTGAGCATGCACTGAATATGTAATACACTTTATCTTTTAATTTAACCCCAATAACTTTATTTATTTTAAATGTGTTATTTTTATTGTTATTTGAGATGGTGTCTCATTCTGTCACCCAGGCTGAAGTGCAATGGCGCAATCTCAGTTTATTGCAACCTCCACCTGCCAGGTTCAAGTGATTCTCCTACCTCAGCCTCCGAGTAGCTGGGATTACAGGCACCTGCCACCAAGCCTGGCTAATTTTTGCATTTTTAGTAAAGACGGGGTTTCATCATGTTGGCCAGGCTGGTCTCAAACTCCTGACCTTAAGTGATCTGCCTTGGCCTCCCAAAGTGCCAGGATTACAAGCATGAGCTACTGCACCCGGCCTAACTCCAGTAACTTTGTAACAACAAAAAAGAGAGATAGAAAAAAAAAAAAAAAACCTGCTGCTGAGCAACAGGGGTCACACAGTGGCTTGGGTCAAGCTTGGGTCCCAGGCATCCCAAGCTGCCCAGGGTCACACAGGCAACTAGCAGAAGAGCTGGGATCCTATGTCAGTTCTGTCTGACGTCAGAGCCCAGGCTCACTTTGCTGCCTTCCATGAAATGTTGGTGTGATACCAGTTAACACAGACTCTACATTTTCACCCATTTGGCTTGTCATTAATTTAAGAGGAAACCTCTTGGGTACAAATCAGAGACCCAGGGCCTGAATCAGTGAAACATTAATTTAAAATGTGGGAGAACACTGTGCCTGGCACATTTGGCACCTTTCCTGGAGACCCACCTTGGGAACGCAAATGAATGCGTGTCATTGCTGTTTTTGAGTAGACTTACATCCCTGTACTTGTTGTAGTTTTATCATTCTCAACAAAACACAAAGTCATGGGCAAAGTACGAAATTCATTGTCAAACCAAGACATAGTCTTAGCTCTTCTGGAACTTCCTTTTCAAAAATTAGGCTCTCTTCATTTTTACCTATCCTATAGCAGTATTTCTCAACCTTGACCCATAACAAACATCACCATCCATCTTCCCAACCAGATTACGAGCTCCTTGAGGGTAGGACTTGCATTGATCTCTGGAGCCTGCCTCATGATAATACTCATCATAGTACAACATATGGAGCTTTACATGGAGTAGCTCAAGCCTCACAACAACACCAGAAAGAGGGGTCTAACATCTTCACAGTTTCACAGATGATGAAACTGAGGTGGAGGAAGGCTGACTTGCCCAAGGTCGCACAACTATGTGTAGCAAAGCTCAAGTTTTCATTGCTTCCTTTTTTTTTTTCTGAGATGGAGTCTCACTCCAGCGGGCTGGAGTGCAGTGCTGTGATCTTGGCTCACTGCAACTTCCACTTCCCGGATTCAAGTGATTCTCCTGCCTCAGTCTCCCGAGTAGCTGGAACTACAGGTGCATGCCACTATGCCCAGCTAATATTTGTATATTTAGTAGAGACTGAGTTTCACCATGTTGACCAGGATGGTCTCGATCTCTTTACCTCGTGATCCGTCCACCTTGTCCTCCCAAAGTGCTGGGATTACAGGTGTGAGCCACCACACCCGGCAAAGCTGGAGTTTTCAACACACAGCATTCCAAAGTTAGGTAAGCTTTATAACTGTAGTTTACTTCATTCCAGTAGAAGGTGTTTAACAAAAAATGTGCTAAATGAAGGGATGGAGAGGCAGCCTGGGATATTTCATTTTTATTTTCTGTTTTATTTTTGCCCTTTCTGCAAACTGAAAGGTGACCTCTAAATGCTATTGCAATGTCAGTCATCAGGAGCATTTCCAGAGCAAATTGCACAGTGAAAAACATGTCTATGCAGTCTGAGGGCTCTGGGTGACAGGAAGAAGCCATACTTTGAATGATGTGTCACTTGTAATTCTGGCTCATGCATTTGGCAGAGCAAGAATAAAACCAGAAAATCACCGGACTGCATCTGGTGTAAGATTTCCATACCTAGCCCATTACACAACACAACACACATGCTATACCAGCTCTGAGATCCACGGAAACACTGTTTCCCATCCTCTTCCACCATCTGCTGTCCCCATCCACCATCCACAAAGCCCTAAGTCACACTTGAATCACAACCCTAGCACACAGATGCCCTCCTCAATCCTACCTAGTCAAGGGGCCAGAATATGGCCAGGACATCCAGGGAGGATCCCAGGTCATCCACAAAAGACAAGGCAAGGAGTTATGTGTCCACATAGTGGTGAGGGCTTCTGTCCCAATGGAACAGGGAAAGAACCAGTAGTCCCCATCTGAGCCTTTTGCTGGGTCCCAGGTACCTCATCCTCTTGACCCAAGCCACTGGCAACATGGATCCCGTTCTTGTTAGGAGACAACAACCTCAACAAACAGATTCTGACCAATGAAATATTCATCTTTCAAACATGCCATGCTATTCAGACAATGGCAAGCCCACCCTCACCCCCAGTGCTGGGTCCCAATTCGCTCAAACCAATTGGTTCATTCCTCCTCCCTGAGCACAGTCATTGGCTATGGCTGGACATGTTCCCTTAGATTTCAGGGCTCTCAGGAGCTAGCTTCCTAGTGCTGAGTCAAAAATGTCC